ATCATGGTTAGTCGCACAATATAGTGAATTGGTTTAATTTAGACATTAACACTGTTGGACGCTGAATCAGTGGTCTAGAGATTAAGAGTTCAAGCAAGATCAAAGGTCCTAGGTTTGAGTTCTGCCTGCGAGATCGTGGATGCGCACTCTTGAGGAAAAAAATGGTCGTCCAGTGCTTGTAGGTTTTCAGTGATAATCTAACATTCATCCAATCATGATATCAGTTTAAACTGAACAATCTCCAAAACCCTAAACTGATAATAAAAATATGTTTCCAATAAAAACATCACTCCAAATGTATTAACGTAATAAGTTACTAATTCTATTAGTTCATATGTGTAAATTTATATATTGAATAAATTTCTTGCATTACAATGAACAGCTGCTCTTAATTTAAATAACATGTTCCTATTTAGAACAACACTAAAATGATTATATTACAACAAATTTAGATGTAGAATTATTACTATCAGGTTAATGCTTTCCACTGGTGGTGAACATAATGTAACCTTAGAATAAATTAGTCTGTAAGACATAATTACGAGTCATATTAGATAATATCTAATTTTGGAATTGTATATGTTGCCTGATAAAAACTGTTGAATTTGTTGATAGAAACCTGTTCATATTATATTCTACACATTTGGTGGATGTCAGTAGATCACTAATCTGAAAGTGAAGTTTCTTAACTTGAGAGGAAAATCACAAAGTTAAAGGTAAGTTCACGAGTATGTATTAATCTAAGTAATTCAATGATTAGCATAATCATCAAGAAATCACCATTCCACTCTACTGGCTGAACTAATTTAATGGAGTTTGAGACACTCAACTATGGTGAATTCTTCTTTTATATTCAATATCATCGATACGGTTTCCGGTTCGAGTCCTAAACTCATCTTTTTCGTTCTTATTTCATAAAGATAAAAAGTTCCTGGGAAGAAAATAAGTCCATACATACAACTAATTAACTTCTGGACTAAAAAATATAAACGGCTACTTCATAGGTTCTCATTTATTTGGTACTACAGAGGATCACCACGTATGTAATTGGGATTAATGTCTTATAGTTCATTGTCAGTTCACAAATATCCATATGACGTTTAATAAATCTAAGTATCTCAAAGTAGAAAAAAGTATCTTCAAACACTATCTCTCAACTCTTTCTCAATAACTTTGACCGTTTTTAAACGTCGAAAAAGTGCGTATCATCATCTCAATAAACGTTTGAATCCATGACATTTAGGTTTTGTCGAAAGTATGTTTTCATGATGTTATTAAACTCATGTACAATGATTCAGATATTTTAGCTTCACTTAAGGTATTAAACTTCTAGTATTAATATTACCGTATAACCGTAGTATTTCCAGCTATATCTTTGAATCCCTAAAATACCTAACAACTTACCAAGATTTTCTAATAAATAATTCAGTGTTTAATTCAAAATATATAACTTCCTTGTCTATTCTAATTGGTTAAATGTTACCATTATAGAAGCCAATTAAGTTAGTGCAAACACTTTTGATAAAACTCCATTTCACTGTGGAGAGTATTGACGAACAACTTGCATTCAATTAGCAGGCAGTGAAACAACTAGTCTAACAGAAGAAACATCTCTCCAATCAAACCCACATAAAACAATTACACTATGCGCTATTCCATAATTAATGTGTATATATTTGTGCATTTACACCACTGAATAGTGACCAGTGTTATATATGTCAAGTCCTTCTTTAGTGTTGATTGCATTTTGTTGACCATTAGCGAATAGAGAGAAATCTAGTTCCGAGACTTTCTGTCGGGTACCCCCAACCAACATTTCATATATTTGTCCAGCTAAAACGGGTATATTACATACATAACAGTATTCCCTGTTAGTGACTGAATAATGATTTACATGCTCCTCTTTATCTCTTCAAGCATAGGCTAAATTTCTAAATAATAAAAGCCTCGAGTTATAGAATTTCATTGATTAGATTTTTTATTCAGTTATCACATTTTGTTTTACAACCAAATCAGTCGATAAAATATTTTCAATATCTATCTAGTGATAGAAGTATCCCCAATGGATTTGAAATGTATAACACACAACTTAGATGAACATGTTGAAATTCTTGGTGATGCATTATTTGTTTGAAGCATTAGTAATATAGTTAATCTAATGTCAATAAATCTTAATTTTACCATAAATCATTATGTATCCATTACACTTGTGAATATAAACACTTTCATATGTTTCTATGTGATATTACTCAGAATATTGATAATTTCTTTAAACCATGTGATACATGTTTTTCTTTATGTCATATGATCGCGATAAAAAAACTGTTTGGAAAAAACCCTTATTCTGTTGTTCAGTTGATCCAGTTCACATCTATAAACTGAACTAATCAATTTTTTTGTTTAATTTTGTTTCTTTTTTTTAACTCTTATAGTTTTTCTTTCATCTGTTGTAAATTTAATCGTAAAAGAACTTAGAAATAAGTGAATAAACCAACGTAGATAGTAGTCAATTCATGATTATACAACATTCTTTTAAGTATAAACATTTGTGTAGAGAAAAATTTCCTGCACCTATATTCTTGAAATAATCTCTGGCTATAGGAATTCGAGCCAACAATCCAAGTCTTTGTGTTCATAAGAAATTTGTTACACCCTTATCTCTCCATTGGCCTTAATAAGTGATTTCATTTCAATAGTTGAAATCATGAGCCCACTGAAGCTAGAGCACCATGAAAAACCTGGAAACACTAAACGGCCGGTTCGTCCTATTGTGGGACTCCTCATCAGTGCGCATCCACAATCACACCCGGGAGATCCAAACCCAGGACTTATAGGTCTCGCACACGAACGCTCAACCTCTAGACCACTGAGCTGGCATCCAACGGTGTTAGTGCTTAACTTCGACCAACCAACAAAATTGAACCACCGTCCACCATTGTCTTCAATGAGTTACTATCTCATAACAGACCCGGTTGGATTCCATTGGTCACTGTTTCTCATAAGTATTTTCCATTTCCTTTTTATGTCGTCATCATGAACACTTGGAATATATTTGAAAGCAATCATTGACGGAACAATGAGAAAAGTAATTGTAATCTTAAAATATAATTTGATTGTAACATTGACTTTGATGGTTTCTCAGCTTTTATAAAAAATATCTGAGTATTGTAATGAATAATCCTCTTATTATGTGTAGATACTTAGCTTAATAAATATGTTAATTACATCTTTCAAACCAATTGATTGTCTAAAATTGAAAACCAGGACTGTATTGTCAAAAAGTGTTGATCAAGATGGTGGTTGGAGGTAGTCAACAGGAAACCCTGGACCTAGGTTTTGTGCTACTTGGCCTCCTGTAGGACTGAGATGTATTTACCATTGACTGATCACTGGGTGGTGATCAATATCATATATGTCAGGTCCTTCTTTGTGTAGATTGAATCCTATCAATCAAGTGTTGATCAACTAAGTTTTAAAATAATTTCAATTTTATTATATTCTACTATTATCTAATGTTTACATAAATACTTCGATTTCTTACTAGGTTTTATCATGTGTATTTATTACTAGAAAATGTTTCGGGCGAGACTCTAATTTAGCGACGAGCCAATGAGGAGCGTTTGAGCAATTTCAAGGTCACAGAGCCAAATTCAACACGCGATACTAACGTACGGTCGGTTCACAGCGGATTTTAGAGAGGAGGTGATTAATGAGAGGTTAAAACAGATGGGACGGCGAAACTCTAATTCAGGGACGAGCCAATGAGAAGCGTTTGAGCAATTTCAATTATTAGCCAATCAGAAGACAGTATAAAGTAAAAATATATTACAAGAAAGTAATGAATTACAGTGGATATTTTTCTTTTACATGATTTAAAAACTTGTTGAGGTTTGATAAAGGCTCAGAAGTTCTGAATTCATAATGCATATTGTATAGAAACTCGTCCATAGGGTTAGGGTTCGGGGTTAAAATTAGAGTTAAGTGTTAGATTAAGGTTAGGGTTTAGGGTTAGGGTTAGATTAGGGTTTAGGGTTAGGTTAGGGTTAGGGTTAGATTAGGGTTAGGGTTAGGTTAAGGTTGGGGTGAGATTAGGGTTTGGGGTTAGATTAGGGTTGGGTTAAGGTTAGGGTTAGATTAGGGTTTAGGGTTAAGGTTAGGGTTTGGGGTTAGATTAGGGTTAGGGTTTAGAGTTAGATCAGGGTTAAGGTTAGAGTTTAAGGTTAGATTAGGTTTTAGGGTTAGGTTAAGGTTAGATTAGGGTTTAGGGTTAGGTTAAGGTGAGGGTTAGGGTGCTAACATGCGATCGGTTTACATCGGATTTTAGAGACAGACTACAACCCTAACCACTAACCCTATGGACGAGTTTCTATACAATATGCATTATGAATTCAGAGCCTCTGCACCTTTATCAAACCTTAACAAGTTTTTAAATCATGTAGAAAAAAGAATATCCACTGTAATTTATTACTTACAATATATTCTCAGTTTATACTGTCTTCTGATTGGCTAATAATTGTCAAGGTCATTTAAGATTCGTTCAAAGGTCGTCGCTAAATTAGAGTCTCGCCAATGTTTCGCATACCTTTTACCATTCACCATTGATTATACTTAAGCAAATATTCTATTTATATGAATAAAATAAGTATCTACCGTTCATAATTCTATTTGTAACGAATGACTTCTTACAGTTGTACAGTTTTCAGAATAGACTAGCTGAATTAGATTGTTTCAATTAAACTGACCGTTCTAGAACTTACTTGTGTATACTTATGCGAACTGTGATTAGAAATTGTTTTAGGAAACAAGAACATGGATGTTTAGTTCTAAACTAATATGTTAAAGGAAAATAAAAAAATTTAGTTCATTATGCAGTTCATCTTTGGTTCATTCAACAGTAATTTCACTGATATTAAAACAAAGGAATTCCTTTGAAAACTACAGATTACTCTGTTATAGTTTATAAAGAAATTCATATAGTTTTAATGCTTTTTCTTGCCTAGATTTCGACAAATCATTCAACCACATGAGCACAACTTTAATGTTCCGTCATTTGGATATGATTTTCGAAATACTTTCAAAACGAATGAGAAAAACACAATTCAACAACAGCTGCCTACTGATACAACTTCCGAATTAAAAAATTCAGTGAAAATGGCCTTAGCAACAGTTAACCAACCAAAACCTCTAAATTCTGTTATTGCCAAAACTGGTCCATCGGTAGATCAAACAGCTGATTTCACATATGCTTCAAGACCTCAACTTAGAGATATGCATAAGGAACTACAAACAACAAGTAGTCTACGACGACAAAATTTTAATGAAAGACAGGTAAAACTGAATGAAAGTTCAGTGTCTGCTACCCTATCAACTAAATCATCAACTTACAGACCAGGTTCAATGTACTTACCAAAATCAAAAAATGACCACGTTTTTACTGAACAAAATATGAATTCTCAACAAGCTGGACTATCACAACTGCCAGAGTCTAAACAACTGTATACCGACACAGGATATGCAGTTGGTACAGGAGGTCAATTTGATCATTCCTCATTGCAAAGAGCTTCATCTTTAGGCAGAAATTCACACAAATCCGTACCTGCTTTTAACCCAGTGTTGCCACGTAAGTAACATCTTAGAATTTTATCGGTTTGTTCTGATTGTATCAAATCGTTTTCATGGTCAAATAATTAATTGCAATGTTCAGTAGCTGTTTGAATAGTTTAGTTGAAATACCTAGTGTACCAAAAAGTGATGGGACATAGTGATTAAGTCCTGAAAAATTTTGCGAATTTTGTTTCAAAACTGTTTAACTTGTGTAATATATATAAAACACATTAGAATACAAAACATTCTCTATTATGAAGTTTAACGAAGTTACTCGTACTCGATATAATTAAATAATATTTCCTGTGTCCTAGTGTAATTTGAGACAGATTCAAAATTTGAGAGTACTAAGAGTTTTGAGTCCGAGAAGGTTATTTGTTAGTATGAATCAAAAAAGTTCTTAATAGTCGTCTCTGAACATCAATACTTATATAACAGACCAATAAATTAGACTTGATTTTATGAATACTAACGTTTTTTGTAAGATTTGAATTCCCCGTTACACTGGTTTACATTCTGTCTTTTATATTGAATAAATAAATTACAGACTCCGGACTCCCTGGTATTTTCGAAAACGCAACTGTTAATGAACAATCTAAACCTGATTTACAATATTCACACCAAATGACAACCCAAATGGATTATCCGCAATGGTATCATCATCAACAACAAAGTCTACAGCTGTCACAGCCACAAGAAACAATAAGTCAACCAGTTCAACAGATTCACTCTCTACATTCTAGTGGGTGGATTTTTCCACAGAATACTGTGACTTCACCTCAGGTTCATTCATCAGCTCCAAATAATCAAACGAGTTGCTATAATTCATCTTCATATAATCCCGCTAATAACGTAGGACAATTTATGTTTACTGTTCCTCCAACAGTCTCAAATATTGGAGGTACAAGCAACCAACAAGGTGTTACTCCACAAAGTTATATCCTTACTCCTGATATAGCTTCGTTTACTCATTCACAGACTTCAGAAAGAGTTAGTGGTCCATCAACTCAGCCAGTTCACCAGTCTCAGTTATTACCTGGTACCACTGTTCTTCAGCCACAAGTTGCCATAGTTACAGTTGACCCAGAAATTTTGAGGGCTATACTTTCCGGTGCATTCAATACACAAGCTCTTTTTCAGTCGGTAAATATGAGCTCTAATAGTAAACCAAATATAAATATGACATCTTCCGTCAATTTGCCAACACAAAAGTCGGATAATTCGAACATTGACGCATTTCCTTTGTCACTGACTAAAAATTACTGTCAACCTTCAGAAACTCAGAATGTTTTTGTTCCTGAATCGAGTATTTCCACCGACACAAACAAAGAAGATCAAAATTTGGAGAACTTGTGTTGTCTGAATGATACAGAAAGCCAAAACTCAACATTTTCCCATAATAAAACTAAAGACAAATCCAATGACAATCAAGAGCTGATCAGATACTCGAACGGTATACAACCCATACAGAACTCTTCAGACGATAAACCACGAGAATCAGCACCCAGAATTGGAAATCCTCCAAGAACACTTAAGTTTTTAGACAAGACAGAGTCGTGTGAACCAGGTGGCCAAACCGAAGATAGTCATCATAGTGGACTGACTAGTGGTCGAGAGCCTAGAAAACTTAAACCATCCAGTTTTATCTTTGGATCCCGAAAAGCATCAACAGATGAACCACCCAATCTTCACAAAAATGAGACAAATGAAAATTTAGGGAAATCAAAAGCTGATAACACCGACATGATTGATCAACGTCAAGAAGTTTCTTCAATAAGCGCTTATTATGAACAACTGAAACGTCGGAACTCCAGACCGCTTAGTGCATGCAAATTAACAGCCGGAACACAGTTTCAACCACCTGCAGACCCATCCTCACTTAAAACGTCGGAATGCCCTCCTAATTTTGAAAGTAGCCCTATGAATTGTCGGTCAGCTCATCAGTTGACGAGAGGTTATACTGTTGCATCAAGTAAACCAGATCATCCCGGTTTATCAACCGGGTTTTCCAAAGAAAGAACACAATTAAAGGAAACTGATCCATCGATAATGACTGTGGCCGAACGTGCAAAGCAGTGGTTGTTAGCACAATCAAGTGGTTGCCGTGAAACACAACGTTACTCTACGTCTGGTTTCATTGATCAAGATTTAGTTGACTGTCAAGATTTAGTACCAGTTGAAGATAGAGTAAAAATGTTTGATATTGGTGCATCTTTAGGCCATCAAACTGAAAAACATCCAGAAGTGAAATCAGAACTACAAGAACTTTGTAAAAAAAAGCAAGTGAAGTTCGGTGAAACTAATATACAAAAACCAGATTCTTCTAAATCTATAAACTTGACAAACAAATCAGTCACCTCTGTAACTCTTCAGACTTTAAGGCCAAATCATATAAATCCAAGAAGACCTCATTCTAGCGTAAACTTACATAGAATCAAGCAAGAATCTCCACAAATGGGAGTGACCCAACCAGCAATTAAAACTTCTCAAGGTGTGAACTTTATCAATTCAAGTTTAAAAATTGCTCCAGTCAAAGGAGTACAACAATCAAACGGGGATGAATTAACCAGGTAAGCTATACAAATTTTAACTGTTTTAATCACACCAACTTCCAAACTTAGATACTCAATGACATACAACAGTAGGGAAATCCTACGACAATGAAGTTAATTAATGCACTACGCTGACAGATTATTAAACACAAACAAAACAATTACTAGAAAGATATGAGCTTTTGATAACAACCAACTTATGAAAAGCTTGTTGTCAAAACACCCCATCTCTAAAAATGGTTCAATAGAGATTCAGTCAGTTGGTGTCAACATCTGTTGTTTTCGAATTTTATCGATCTTCCATTATAGAACAATATATATGAGTCAATGACTATATAGGATAATGTTTCAGTTAACCTCCTAAACACGAAAACTTGATTAGCAATTTAATTGATAATATTATAATAATGAAAAATACTACTTATTTTGTCTACACAACTTAGGCAAAAGGTTCTGTCAGTGAAAAGTTATTAAAATCTGTTTAGTTTTCAGACTTCAATGGACAACCTTTTAAGTTACAGATTAGGCTAATCCTTCATGATAGCTTACAATATCTTCCAAAAGAACTGGCATGTGTATTGCGTTGAAACCCATGGGGTTAAATGGTTATTAAGAGGGCAGTGGTATTGTTCAATCTGATTATTTATTAGTCTTCTATATGGCTTTAGAACCAGTGATCTTCTTTTCTACCAGTGAACAGCGATTAAAACTCTAACATTGAGCTACTTTCAAACCAGTGTTCAATCAAAAGACGTAATTAACCAGCAACCTCTATTGTGTAGCCGTTCTGTTGTATGGATAAACTTAATAATATAGAGTAATTTCACTACCTTACACCAACATAAATAGGTAATTACAACACTGTATATGTAATTCGATCAGTCGAAAAAACATTCGTTAGAACTATACTAATTGTAATCATAATTCAATGAAAAGCAAGAAGAATGCACCTCAAGTTAACTAGAAATGCTTTGTTATTTTTTCGACGAACTGAGAGCAGTTACTTCTAAATCGTTTCATTGAAATACTTGAGAATAATTTAAGATGCTCTGATTTTTATCAGATTGAGACTAGCGAAGAAATATTTTAAAATCATTCTTATAACACTTAATTCATGAGTTAAAAATGAAAAGAACGATAGCTTACTGTTGTGAGGTTGTTTACAAAAAAGTATCCAGCTTATATCAGTTATTAAATGTTGTACCAGGGAGGTCTAATAACCTATACTAAGAAATATTTTCATGGTTAGCTAATGTAATAAACTCAAGTTGAAAACATATCTTTCATTCAGTCAAATTCTAGATGGTGGTACCGATTATTTGAAATATAAAAATATCATTATACGTAACAATCATTTACAGCCTAATTAAATCTTTCACTATTGCTCTTACATGTAGCTTAGTTACTGATAATAAAGTATGTGTTTTTCAGATCACGTTTCAAATGAATGGGTAATTCATGGTAGTGTTTTGTGATGTCTAACTCAGGTCATTCAATCACTAAACTATTGTTAATCACTAATTTTAAAATTTATATGTTTGTTAAAACAAGTGAATGTTTTAGCTACTTTACCCCAACTCTGATAAAAATGAAATACTGATATTTTAAATGCATTTATATATAATTCCCATCAACCAACATTATACCCTACAGATTTTAGTTATCTGTATTGAAAAATTAGCCACTAATTAATCCATGGACGTTATTTATCAGTTAATGTCAGTTCAAATGTCCGTATAACAACAAGTTGATTTCTTACTAGGTCATTTTCTGCTAGCATTTTGAATAAAATTCTAGCTTAGCACTCAGTCAAAGTGTAATTGTTTCAATACTTGTTAAACATATTTACAAAATACAATGATGATCTAACTATCATCAGGGTACTGACTAATCAGTGTTAGGTGACTGAAACTAATCACTAGATATTTGTGTGTTATTTTAATCCGAGACATTCGGTTTCAAAATCAGAGACGTATCATCCCCCTCAGGATTAAGTTATTTACACCAATTAAATATTCAGTAGTGGTAACTATAATATTATCAATTTTCTGATTTAACTAGAAGACTCATAGAAGTAGCGAAAATGAGACAAAGTATCATTGGCTAACATTCTGCTACTATTTAATATTTACAGTTTACTCATTGATTCATCACATTTCCTTTGTCAACATAATTTTATAGACTTACTTAATAAGTGAAATACATATTCACTTCGATTAAATTCAATAAATTCGGCAGAAATCTCTGAATACAATAAATTTATATGTTACCTATCATTAAGTTATCTTTCGGGTGCTTGCTACTGTTTAATAGTTTATCTATAGTCTATTCGGAAAAAATGACCTTTCGAAATCTTTAAAACAGAATTTTACAATTCAGCTAGTAAGTATGATCTATTAAGTAATATCGGAATGACAATGAACATTTTTGGTCTAATTAATGCTTCTGTCTATTATATTTTTCATTTTTACTTAATTAGTACTAGACTGAAACTTTAATGTGCAATGAGTGTCTCAAAATTTCAAGCATTTTGTGAGCTTGATTTCATACCCAACAAGTTGGGGAAAATACTCAGTAATTTACAACAAAGAAGGTTTTTAAAATTAAAAACCAGTCGTAGTAATAGTAAATGACTGACATAAAAATTTTGTATAAGGATTCAGTTTTTGAACACCTTCTATCTGAAGCCCTGAAATATTTGGTAGCTATAACAGAAGGATCACATTTGTAGTCAGTCAGTTTAAATCAAGATATTCTTTCTTATTGCATATTCAATGTCTGTTAATTTAATTATACACTTTTTACGTGCTGTAGATCACTCATACTAATTATAACTCAACGATCAGAATATACAAAAGTTTTGTTAAAGGAAGCTACGTGAAACCTTTTTGATTATATCGAATGTTTCACAGATCCTTCTAAATTTGATTGCAACAACTTACCTTCTTAAGTTATTTGACCTCTTGATCAACTTGTTTACTTTATATCTATCAAATATTAATTAGTCAATCATAATATAAATATATTAACTAATGTCTGAATATAAAACTGTGGAAAGAATATCTGAAAACGTTCAAAAGATTATTTAAATCAGAGAAGAGTTTTGTGGATATTATAATTATTTAATAATTGAATTCATTAGTTAATTCTAGCTAGACCACCATAGAAAATATTGAAGCACTAGACGGCCGTTTTCTCCTAGTATGGGATTCCTCAGCAGTGTGCATCCACGATCCCGACTCGAACACAAAACCTAGCGATCTCGCACGTGAACGCTTAACCTCTAGACCATTGAGCCAGCATCCAACGGTTCGAAATTAATTTTCTTTATTTCAATTATGACAGATTAATTCAAAATCAATTTGTATATTCCATCAAGAATCAATTAAGATGTTTTCTTTAAATTGAATAAAAACAAAAATAATTTATGGACGAACCAATAAGGTATAAGATAATTGGCCTCGGATATTGGCGCGAAATTCACTCGTCCAACTTAGTTAAATAAAGTTTTGGCATTATAGCTGATGTCAGTTTGTGATGAAAACCCAAAATCTAATTCTTAATGTTAATCATCAACTGTAAAACACAATTCGAATTCCTCATTTGGTCATAGCAATTAGTTGGACACTCTCAAGGTCAGTCTAGCTTAGTTCAAAGATTGTCCATACATTATAGTCTCACCAGAATTTTTTTTTCCATTGAATTCAAGAACATAATTCATATGATTTCCACTAAATAATGATACTGATAATGACATGGATTGTGGTAGATCTCAATTAACTTTCCATTATACAATTAATAAATTAATTTTAAATCTTTTAGAAAATATTTTTAGAAAAATGTCTACTTACATATATATTATACATTGAATATTGTTTTACTAAACTATGCCATTGTAATAACATGAAGTTGCACAAGTGCATTCAATGACTATAGAATATTTCTAACTTTACTTTTTTTTTCCAAAAAAATCAAACTTTCTCCATAATTTTGTAATAATAGTAGTAACTACATTCCATAGAAATGGTAGCAATATAAACTTTAACAATAACATATATATGTACACACACACATAAAGGCTTTGTAAATAAATAAAATTCTCCTATGTAATTCATTCATTTATAATGCTACAAAAATATACAATAATGAAAGTACATTTTATAAGTAATATATTTAAGTAAACTATGAGTAGTGAAATGATTTATGTAAATATAAATGAATTCACGTGTTCAATAAATTAATTATTAATAGTACAATTGAATTTGTTAAAGAAAAATATTATTAATAATAATTAATTACTTAATAGAAATAATAAATTCTGTTTTAATTAATCATTTACAATGTACTAGTAATTTCATACATATAGTTCCCTTTATCATTTTGAAAAAGAGCAAGAACAAAGTTTCCTAGAAAATAAGCATAAATTCATTTTATTTCGTAGGTTCTCGCATCAAAAACCTAACTTGTATGTTCAAAAGGAGATGGTTATTAATTTTTTGTTGCCTTGGTGATAAATATCCCTTCGCTGCATTAAAAAAATTTCTTTTCTTTTTACTCTTCCTTGTATTTATTACATTATTGAGTTTTATTTCAACTATCTTCCAAATTCATTATTTTATTTTATCAACTGAGCTCTATTCATTTTATTCCTATCCATGTTTACTCATTATATCATCACTTGTTTCTGGCCCATTGAAATGCTGTCACAATATATATATATTGTAGAATGTTCTTTTACATAAGGTATGTATTTACAATATTCAGTCTATTCAACATACTTTTAAACCCTTACTATACTATACTAATATGTCTTCAGTATAACTTCCAACCAAACCCTCTCATGCAAGTAATTTAAATCCATTATTTAATTATGATTTTAAATATCACAGGTTGTAATCAGCTGACGAGAACCTACGAAATAAAAGGAGTTCATGCTATTCTGCTAGAATCTTTATATTAGTAATTTACTTTAAAGAATAAACTAGAAAATCTTCTATAAAAATTATATCTACTTTAACAATTAAGTCTTAAATAATGAACAGATTCTTACTTATGAAATTTATATCTGATCTAATAATTCAAAGGTGAATGATTCATCCAGTAATATAAGTGTTGTGAATATAATTCACCTAAACAATAACCATAATATGAGAAACAGTTTATTCAATTGTTTTGTGAATTATCCTTCATTTTTCTATAGTTTTATGAAACTATTTTTCTACATGGATCATGACTTCATGAAGAATATACTTCAATCTTGACTGTAATTTAGTGCCTGAGCTAGAGTTCAATTAATTAGAAAAACAAAAGCTATATTATAAGAACTTGGCAATTATTTTAATATAAGTAGATTCAGCCTTACAAGAGTGTACTAATCGATGTATAGTACTTCACTGAGTTGTGAAAAGTTTCATGCTGCTGTTCACTTAAAAATTCTTACCAGTGAGCTACATAGCTCGACATTAAAAACAACTCAATGAATAATTAATTAAAATAAACAGTAGCAAACAGAATCTTTGTCACTCTTAAAATAAATGCTGCTATTGTTATTTGTAAAGATTTGTAATTTTATGTAGCTGAATTTTAGGACTGTACTTTATCAGTCTCTTTTGGGATATGAGGACTCCACATCAACCGAAACTACAAATCAATTATATTTTAAATATTAGCTAGAAACAAAATCTAAGACGGACGTATCCGCGTATTAAGGACTCATCAACTCAATATATTAGTGTTTCATCTACCGCCAGTGTAGCCAAGTGTCAAAAGCGACTGATAAAATGAGGTAATAACGAGAGTCCTGACAAATATTAATAGATACTATGCACTGTAAACATCAGCACTAGTGAGAAATCACATCCAACTAACATATACTGCAGTGAATAGAACACCAGCGGGGACAATCTAATGTATTTGAGTACAAAATTACAGAGCATCTCACTAAAATCTGAGAACCATACAGTAAATACTTAATTTGCAGAATATCAATCCATCGTTTCAAACTTCACTGTTCCTTTGCAAATATCAGTCGATTGTCTTGGATTTCATTGTTCATGCGTTTTTACACCAATTGCATTCTGTTTCCGTTCTTTCCTTATCGATCTTCTACTGAAATACATACTATGTTTGGCCACCGTTACATACTACTTATATGGATATAAGTAGGCCACACCACAATAGTAATATGGAAAAAGCACACATCTTGAATTAGCTGCAAACCTCAAATTTGCTAAATATGATATCGCAATGAGTTCTCGACAGCTCTACATTTGTGTTTTTATTTTATATTTGCTTTCAGCTGATCCAATTTCGAGGAAATTATTCGAGATTTTCACTAAATTATCCAGAAAAATTATCATCTATTTGAATAGGTTCTTGTTATTCTTATGAAGTAAATAAATAATTAATCAGCTTCATATTAATTATTATCATCATTTGTTAGTAGACAGCTTCAATTAACAGTTTAACATCATGTTGTTCTATTGGGCTCATATACAAAAGTTTTTATTTATTTTAGGTTGAAGTAAAATTTGATTTCTTCAGTATTCAAAAACTAACTTTCGAATATATCTTAGGTATTCTACGATAAAGAAACTTGATTCTTGGACGGTACTATTTTAACACTTCCTAGTAGAACACCATGTGATTTCAGTTTGCAATACTTTATGTATCGTTTGTGTAGAAAATGAGTTCAATCGTTTATAAACAAACCCAGCTACCAGTAAGTGACTCTACATAAACCAAATCTCTATCTATGTGTGTTACATTAATTGTGTAGTACTTGCATTAAATTAATAGTTTTGGATAATAGCATGATAGGGTCACTGATTCAATATGGATTTTCGAATGTCATTGATGGTAAATTGAAGGAGAATTTTCTAATAAAGGAAATCCATAGCCTACATCTGATATCAAAACGGCAAATCTAGTGTATGACTAAATCTACTAATTGCTGTAGTGAAACTACGAGGAATTATGTCGTAGAATTTTACTCACTATACAAATTTTCCGGATATTTCCGATAAATTAAAATCGTGCAGTTGTATTACATCTGAATGACCTGATTTAACCGTTACCTGTATATTATACATTCATTCAAATCGATCGAATTTTTTGCAACCACCTAAAATAGGGATTATTAAATTCACCATAAAAAACCATAGTCTATAACAAACCATAAATTTGAATTAGTTAACCATATGAAAAAAATCCATAGCAGTTTCCGATTGTATATCCATTTTCTGTGGTTGAAATATTCATCTGAGATCATCCGATTTGAATAAGTTGATCCAGTTTCATTAAAATTCATTACAGAGTTGAATTCTAACTAAAGAGATACTATTTATGTTAGAAACTATACCCTTTTTTAACGATCAATTATTAACTAAAGAATTTTGATTGAACACAATTATGACAAAATTAATTCGATATATTTCTACTTCATTCATTCACAACCACAATGTATCATTAATTATAATACTAATAATAACATTGTCTAACAAAATACTTGTGAATTGTATTATTTATCATAACAATGAGTTGAAAAAACACAATGGGAATATCTAATTATTGCTTATTTTACTGATACTAGTGAGTAAATGTTTGTTACTTTACAATCAAATACAAAAGCTATAGTATAGATATAAGTGAATGCTTCAAGGAATTCATTAAATAAAATTATGTGTATCACATGATAAAAGGGGTTACTCATTCACACTAATGAGCAATATTATTATTTTTCTAACTAGCTTGTAATTAAATTCACTTGGTATTGTTTGCTTATGTCTTCATATTGTTGTTTAAGACTGCAGTCGACCAGTATCTTGTTGGGATATGTTCATCCTGTGTGGATTGCCTCGATATTGCTTCAAGTTGCTAAGTTTATGAGCAAAGATGGATAGTGGTTAGCAGTGGAGTTCAGGACACGCGTTTCATCCTACTTGTCGTTTGAAGCAAACTGTACTGGGTTCGAGTCCCGGAGTGAACATGAACTCTGCGATGCATGTACATCCAGCTGACGAGACCCGAAAATGATGGACGCGCGTCTTGGATCCCACTGCTAGCCACTATCCATCTTTGCTTAATAACAAATTAAGTTTTATACTTTTGATTTGTAAACCGATTTCATCTAATTACTTTTCTTTAACCTTTTTAAATATTATACAATCAGATTATGGAAGGTGAAATTTCCAAACATGTACTTAGAAAATAGTTTTCTATTCTTAGCCAATAGACTACTATATCTGTTAAGTAGTTAATAAATACATTTGTACAGCTTCAGTAGATGATTGTGGAAAACCTTTCTTTGTAATACTAGGTTTTATATGGTGGTTGGAGGTAGTCAACATTGCCACATGCCACATTGCAACATGATCGATAGCATTCGATGTGCACTAATAAGGACTAGACAAGCATGATATTGATCACCACCCAGTGATCAATCAATTGTGACTAGGTTTTATTCTTTCATTTTTAAACATTCATATGGGCTTATAAGTTAATAAATGGGCTTGATTTTTATTAAAGAAACCTTGTTCTAAGTAAAGAAAACTAATTTAAACAATATATTAAACAGTTTACCGATTTCTTCTCTTTTTAAATCACAGTTCAATTTATATAAAAGACTAGGTTTGTAACTGTTGAGTCTATACGCTTTTCTCCACAGTCTAACGTGGATTATACTGACATACTGACTGATCTAGATTCGACCATCTGATTTTGAATCAAATGGTAGAATAGAGCACAAATGTGTCTCTCAGTGATCCAATCCGTTTACTGTCATCACAGGAAACACTTTTCCCTTTATAAATTAAACAACACAAAAGTTAAATCATGTAAACGCATTTCATAATATAACTTTTATCTAATTCAGTATATAAAGTAAACTATTACAATTTGAAGTGGTTTAAATTATCTCGTTGTTAATATTTGATCAGTCTCGGTTGGTATATGGGCGTCCTGTGAGGATCGCCAAGATGTAGCCATTATGACACAAGTTAATATAGACCAAATGGAATATAGTTAGCAGTGAAATCCAGAACGCGAGTTTTCTTCTCACAGGATGCTTATATACCAACCAAAACTGATCAAATTCAACTCGAAAATGTCAATAACGGGATAATACAGTCCAGTTCAAACTGAATTAAGTCTCATACCCATTGTACAAGTGAGCGATTATTCGGGCTCAGTAACTGAGTGCATAACGAGATAGTGTTCAAAGCAAACAGTACTGGGTTTGAGTCTCACGGTGAACATCAACTTTAGGATACAGGTACATTCGACTGATGGATTCCAGATGGGATGAAATCTGAGTCTTGGATTACACTACTAACCATATTCGATTTAGTCTACATGAACAACTGCAGTTTCAAACTTGTTTTAAAATATTTTTACTCATTTTAATCTAATCAAATTTCATAACCATGTTAAAGTGTTGTATATAGGTTTGTGTGTTTATCTATCCATCTATCCTCTCGCCAATAACGTGTTAATACTGTATGCTCTTTACATTCAAACACACCAGCATGAATGGAGACTTAAAAGAATTTCACTGATTTAAACTATTTATGATCAAATAAAATGTAAGTGTGCTAATCATGCATATTGAAAATTGATTTTTGTTTGTTTGTTTGTTTGTTTCACAATTTTCACAATTTGAAAATGAAAACAATGTTGACGACAATGTTTTTTTTATTAATACTATGGTTGTTATTACAGATTAAGTTTGAATGAGAAACGAAATTTATTTAATCAACGATTTCAACAAGGACAATCAAGTTTAACAAATAAATCATTTAGTGGTGCATCTGAACCAAAACGTGTAATACGTCGAAAAACTCAACCGATTACATTGGATGATTTAGCGAAAGCAAATCAACTTATTTTAGAAAGATATTATGGTAAACATTTAGGTAAGCAATATGATTGTTAAAATTATGAATTATTGTTAATGTTTTAATATTATTTTATATATTTTCGTGGTTTCAATCATGAGATCAATTTTATTATCATAAGAAAGTGAAATCAATTAAAACTGCTGAGGAGTCCCACAATAGGACGAAACGGCCGTCTAGTACTTACAGGTTTTCCATGGTGGTCTAGCTTTAATTGGCTTGTGATCTCAACTATTGCAATTACTATAATATCTACAAAACCCTTCTGATATAAAACAAAAAGGTTAAGCACATTTTTTAATTCAAGGTATCCGGACTGTACATATTACATACATACTAACTCATTTTAACTCTAAGAACTGTTAAGTTTGGATTTCTTTTAGATCACTAGATAGTAAACCCAAAGTCTTACTTTTCAACTCTAAACACCACGATATAAAATGATGTTCATCTTATTATTGCCTTACAAAACTGTTTGAAATAAGTTGAACAAAACTAGAAAAACAAGTTAGCGCCAATACAATAAGCAAAATTAAATATATTAAAGAGAAAACTATAATTGGCAAATATTAATAATATCATCTGAACTATATATACTATATTAGCCATAGAGAATATATTGTACTAACAAACGTATATTGTGTTATGTCACGAATTAACTGATGTCGGAAATTCAAACCGTCGGCTATCAACAAATTAATCTTGTGACATTATTACATCTAAGGGACATAAATATTTTAAGTTCATTCTAGTGTAAGACTTTAGATACACACAGGTGAAATCTTCAGGATTCCAGTGAAACAGGTACCAAGCATTATCTGGTTTTCAATTATTAATTAAACCGTATGAACTTACATAGCGATTAGATCATTGACATGATCTAATGAAATGGCTGAAATAGAATAAAGAATGAGTCTTTAAAATTTTAACTCTAAAGAACTTCTAGTTTAAGCAAGTTCACTTCTTTAGTAACTGTTTTTCAACCTTCGTCAATAAGTTTTACATTTCTCTTTGATTTCTCCCTCAACAATTCCCTTTAACGGTTTTCAACACTCAGCAGTTACCATGAGAGAAATCAGTGGAAACCTAGGATCGCATAACGATTGTCTTGCTCTATTTCGACCATAGAAAGTTGAGGATAGTCACTGGTGAACAAATATGTACTACATGATTTTGAATGACTAGTTTGAAGAAACCAAATCTAAGTTTGATGACATCTAATAGATTTATCGCTGATTTCAGTTCAGGAAAAAAACAGAACATAAGTTTATCTGACAACAGTCAAATATTAGTCTATACAATTCAAAAGGTAGAATGATAACGTAATTGTCATCTGTTTCTTTTTATTGGTCAGTGTTTTTTTTCTCAAAATGTATTATTTTGGCGGCAATTAGTTTCTTTAACTAACTGTATATGGCACTAATCACACCAATGATTTCGTGTATTTTGACATTTTAATGATTTTTTCAAACTACTCAAACAACTAAAAAACATGACAATTTGCAGTTACTAAGTTATTTCCATACTAGTTTAATATCATTGTTTTCTACAAATTTATTTAGTTGATTAAATAACTGAATTAATGCATAGATTAGTTAATATTAGCACTTCTAATAACAAATGGCAGATTTTGCTAGTATTATTTCTTTATAAAATATGATTGTATGTGCTCTAGCAAAAATAATATAGTACATAAACATTTAAATAAAATATGGATGATCTAATGTGAGCCATCAGTTGCTTTATTATTACAAATATTATTTGCTAAGAATCTCCAAATTGCACGAGACCTAGTTCTAGGGCCTCGTGATGATAGCTTTCAACCATCTATTAGTTAAACATTGTGAATACAACATCAAATTATTTATAATGGTGGATACATTGTAACACCATCGATTGGTTTTTTCAATATTTAACAAGCTATTGCTTAATCATTCTAGAAAGCGAGTTACCTAGTTTCTGCATTTAACATTAACAACTATTCTTTTTGGCTTCAGATGAAATTGTGAAGTAAATTTGTTCATGTTAAATTTTTCAAGTATATATTAAATCTGCAAATTGGTTTCATATGAAACAAATAATTTAATTGTAATATAAGTTCAAATAATATACATTATCCGAATATCCAAGCAGCTATCTGATGATAATAATAATCTGAGTCAATTGATTTATGTTTTTGTACCGCTATATTCCTTGCGTTCATTTATACCATTTATTCAAGCTGTTTTTTGTTGATAACCTTTATATTTATTTTTCATTCAGCAACAGTTTTCATAAATTTTATAATAGTATCTACGCTTGTATGTGGATTTTTTTTTAATTCAGTCAAATCAATTTAAGCAATATGTACTCTTGATTACTATTAATGATTCTCAGTTATGGGTATACCAGGAAAAATTCAGTAGCTTAGTAAAATGTCCGACTAGAAAATAAGTAGGGATAACTGCTTGAATATTCACAAAATATTAAGTATCAAGATAATTTGAACCTTTAAAATAGGTTTATAGCGAAATATAATTCAATTAAATGAAGTTATAGAAACTTCTATGATCAGCGGGAGGTTATACATCTAATTTACACTGTTTAATAAGTAATTTTTCAGTCCACTTAGTAGGTGATTTCTAGATACAAGACTATAATTTACACTGTAAGTGTTTTCCAAAAATCTAAATCTATCCAAATCTATTCATTTTAAACATCTCAGTATAGAGCAGCCTAACTTGCTGGAAAAAGAACACAAATATCATGAAAATTGAGCCTTCAAATGAAATCTCCCGTGAAAATTTCACAATTATATGCGCTATTCACAAACAAAATAGTAAGAAAAATACATGAAAATCCATGTTTTTATACTCTTATTGAACATCTGAAAATGAATGGACGAGCTTATTAAGCATATGATTAGATATATTTAGTGTTGTGCGTATATATTCAAGAAAATCATAACGTTTTTCTAAACTTTATATAGGTTGATAACTAAATCACATTCCAAGTAAAAGTGATGATATTAATGTATCTATGGTCCTTATTTATTGCTTGATGTATTCAAGTAGCCATAAAATAAGGATCCATAGTCAAAGGTTATTTTGATTAGGAAATCTGTATATTTTCTGGGTATAATTTTCAGTATTTTATTGGTTGATGAAAATTAGTCATGATTTCGTGGTTTCATAGAGTAATGGTGTAAATAAGTGTGAAAGTGAAAGAATTTGTGTATTAATATCAGATGTGAATAGCGAAAATTTCACGAAATTTCTTAATTATATTTATATAATAAACATAAAGTATACATAATTTATTAATCAAGTCATCATCATCATCATCATCATCATCATCATCATCATCATCATCATCATCATCATCATCATCATCATCATCATCATCATCATCATCATCATCATCATCATCATCATCATCATCATCATCATCATCATCATCATCATCATCATCATCATCATCATCATCATCATCATCATCATCATCATCATCATCATCATCATCATCATCATCATCATCATCATCATCATCATCATCATCATCATCATCATCATCATCATCATCATCATCATCATCATCATCATCATCATCATCATCATCATCATCATCATCATCATCATCATCATCATCATCATCATCATCATCATCATCATCATCATCATCATCATCATCATCATCATCATCATCATCATCATCATCATCATCATCATCATCATCATCATCATCATCATCATCATCATCATCATCATCATCATCATCATCATCATCATCATCATCATCATCATCATCATCATCATCATCATCATCATCATCATCATCATCATCATCATCATCATCATCATCATCATCATCATCATCATCATCATCATCATCATCATCATCATCATCATCATCATCATCATCATCATCATCATCATCATCATCATCATCATCATCATCATCATCATCATCATCATCATCATCATCATCATCATCATCATCATCATCATCATCATCATCATCATCATCATCATCATCATCATCATCATCATCATCATCATCATCATCATCATCATCATCATCATCATCATCATCATCATCATCATCATCATCATCATCATCATCATCATCATCATCATCATCATCATCATCATCATCATCATCATCATCATCATCATCATCATCATCATCATCATCATCATCATCATCATCATCATCATCATCATCATCATCATCATCATCATCATCATCATCATCATCATCATCATCATCATCATCATCATCATCATCATCATCATCATCATCATCATCATCATCATCATCATCATCATCATCATCATCATCATCATCATCATCATCATCATCATCATCATCATCATCATCATCATCATCATCATCATCATCATCATCATCATCATCATCATCATCATCATCATCATCATCATCATCATCATCATTATTATTATTATTATTATTATTATTATTATTATTATTATTATTATTATTATTATTATTATTATTATTATTATGTTATCACCAATTAAAACCTCATTCATGAATTTATATACTTTGTGATATTTGATTTATGTAACATTTAAGATATTACATCAATTGATAATTTACAAAAAATGCCATTTATAAGTAAGCCAACTTGAACAGTTAGAAGTACATACATTCCATGTTATTGTTACGCATTTAACCTTCAAACAAAGTAACTACGAATTCAATGTCACTTAATGACTAAAATAAAATACTCTGAGTGTAATGACCTTATGATCAAGAATTTGCTATTTACGAAAGTGAATTCTGTATTATACAATATATTGTGTGTTGTTCTGTATCAAGAATAATTATCTGTGAAGTATGTTTATATCAATGTTATTTTTGAATCAGAGCTATCATGTTTATCATAATCTTTTGACGGTTGCAAGTCTTTTGTTGTGTAAATTTCTACGTGTGAAATAATTTCGATGAAACCATTGCTAAATGATTACTTGTTTTCAAAGATTTTCTTGATGATATCAGTTTTTATAGAAAATTTGACTCAAATTGTCAATCCGATTTCATGATAAGTCAATATCTCAACTGATAAGCTTCTTTTACTCAGAATCCATTATTTTACAACACTTTGTGTCTTGTTATTTATCATTTACTATCCCTTCTGACGAATAAATAAATTTTAAAAAGTTCTGTGTATTGTGAATAAACAGATAAAAACACTCTCCAAAATTATATGTTCTAAGTTGAGACTTGATAACGAAACACTTAAACTTTGAAACTTAGAAAAATGTTGATAGCTGCTCGAAGTTCTCATATCCCGAGTTTAAGAAACGGCCTTAATCTATTTACAAAGGCTGATGAAACAACTAATATCCTACAACGCATATTTTGATCATCCGTTTGAAACTACTTGTTAGTAGTTAAATTTTATTGTACTAAAATAATATGGAATGGTTACTCTGTTTTTCGTTATGAACATGAAAATCTCATTTTATCGTTTTCATCACAAACGCTAAGTAGAATATTCAATAGTTGTTTTAAAAGTTTAGTAGCGAGAGGCTTCTATTCACTGGATACTAGTAGACTAAATCAGTTCAAATAAATCAAATCAAATGACTCAATAAAAGCATATAATAAACATCCAACTTCCTCCACTGACAAATACATACTTGAAACAGATCATAAGACTGATTTTAACTTGACTTCTGTAGTGCTTTACAAAAGTCTTAGAGAGCGTATACTATGGGTCATTGAAGCCTTAGCCAAACGAAAATTCAAACTGTCTTTACGTATTCAAAAGCAGTTTGTTCTCACCTTAAACTTCTACTGGTAATACCAGTTTATTATCCGGAAAGCTGCAAATTTAAAGTGAACAGAATTGTCTACTTTTGATTGTTACGTAATCAAGACACTCAGTTATTTTAAATAATCTCATATGTTACTTATTATACAGTAGTAGTATGCAATGATACATACTGAATCCTAAAGCAAATATCAAGTTTTCTTAATCCTACATGACATATTTATTTCTAAACTGTTAGCTAAGGTAAACGTTTTTAATAATTAAACTTTTTAAATTTTAGAATCACCTTTCGGTAGTGTAAAAGGAGATGAACAAGATTCATTTGGCTTCCATGAGTATGATTCACAATTATCAACTCCGGAAGCCAGTTTAATCAGTAAGTTACTATTATCATTATGCCAATATATCATAATTAAAATTTTCTTCAGGTTAATATAACGAAAATTCATCATTAATTGATTGAGTAAACTTGAAAATAATTGTTAAAATCTTCGAAACTTTTTTCTATTGCATGTGCATGTGAAGGATTATCTTTGCGTTTACGGCTCCAGAAGATAGTACAAATTATTGATTTTTCTGGATAAATATTTACAAAAATGGAGAATAGACATAACAAACCAAATCCATCCTCTGTAATTTGTTTGAATAGATCGAAATATTTTTGTACTAATTTCAGCATGACTACAGATGAGTCCAAAGATGCTTATAATGATTTCTATAACAGGTCTTTCATTAATCGAAATAATTGTTATAGCAATAAATATGGTAGATGCGAAAATTATATGGAATCAATGATCAAGACAAATAATGAGTTCCCTAGAAATCAAAGACAAGAAGCACATAATAACAGATTGAAAAACCCGTCTAAATCATTCCGTTTAGATCCACATCATGATAAATATGAACTTTATTCATCGGACAAAAACATTTATAACTATGATAAAAATGAATATTCAAAGAATATCTATCGTAGTAATAGTTGTAAACATAATCATACTAGTGATAATTGTGGACCATTTACACCAGAATTGAACAGAGAAATATCAGCAAGGAAATCATCTAAAATAAATCATCTTGTAAATTTATTGTATAGAAATTCAGAAGAACGAAATAAGCAACATATCATAACTAATAATAATACTGGTAATAACAGCAGGTAAATAAAATAGAAATCATTGAATAATAATAATATTAATAACGAAATTTCATTGCTTCGGTTTTATGTGTCAAGACTATTATTTGATTAATCGAATGTAAGAAATGTCATCTAGCGAATTTCATTGGTTAATAAAAATATCTATGATTTACTGAGGAAAAAAGGCTGATAGTTTGTGTTAGTCTTTTTTTAGTGAGCTGCTAGGAACGTCGATTCTTATACTGAATAAGTCAGTTAAAAATAAAAGTAAAAAAATTTCTTCCTGTGTACTAAGCTGAACTTGTCAGATTCTCAACTTTTTCCTGATTTACCTAGAAGCATGAGAGAGGATATATCAAATTCAAATTCATTTCTTAGTATCCTACACATCAAAACTGGATTACTTCTTATTCAGCGAAAACACAAAAAAAGAGGTATAACGTTTTAAGACACACATTAGCAAACAGTTGTTTAATTTTGAAATCTGGGTTTGAATCACTTAAATATGTATCATGTGTATATGACAACATTTCCAAAGCCCTCTTAACCACAAAGGTCGAAACAACCTGGCAGTATACATCTCTCTTAGAAATTCAATGTTAGCTTCGTCACTACGTATGACTGTCAAGTAAGAGTGAGTGTAAATTGTTATTTATTAATCTTATAATATTTTAATTCAAACAAGATGGTTTTGAAGTTTTACTACATTCAAACTTTAGTGAATTCACCAGTGAGCGAACAATTATGAACCATTCGTAAGTCAGCCACATGCTTTGTATAGGAACATTAACAGGATAAGATTGTAATTTCAGAAATAGTGTAAGGGTGTAAGTTTATGATTATTGAATTGATATTGTCTCATAAAAACCCTCTTCAGTATGACACTTCGGGATATTTCCAATTAGTGTTTGAATTCACACTAGGTTAGACCACCAAAACGTAGACTACATGAGATTTCTTTAGAAAAAAGGTAGTGTTCAATATTCTTTACAAGATTCCCATATTTTCATATCACCTGTCTCCTCTATTAAAATTAAATAAAACATGTATCTTTTTGTTTTTCTCTGAGTTCATATTTCCCGATTCACTAACTAGCTGTTTATACGTGTTTGTGTTATCCTGTTGTCGGTATCACGAGCTGCTATTGATCAGTCCTTTTCGGTATTCGAGCATCATTAAAAAAAGTTGCCCTAAAAATCGTCTTTCATTGCAAGTTTTTCTAGACTTGAATAGTAGCTGTTTGTGCAGTCTAGGATGTGCAACCTGTTTACAGCTCTGATTCCGGATGTACAATCTAGAGAATGTATGGACTCAATGGATCAGTCGATACTCCGCTAAGCGTTTAAATTAAGAGCTAGTCGATGCGAATTTCGTTATAAATATTAATGCTGGGATTCAGGTATATTAACTTAATGAGTCTCAAACAGTATGAAACGCGTGTACTCAATCCCACTGTTAGTAACTATCCATCAAAAAACTCTTGGTTAGTGATGTGACTAGTGTCTCTGTTACCAATGACACTCAGCTATCAAAAAATAGTGAGTAACGTTAATCATTCGTATTATTTATTATATGGGTAGTGAAACATTTCTGTTTGAAGACATTTTCATGTTACAAATTCAGGTGTATGTGACTGAATAGACGTCGAAAACTGCTCTTAAATATAATTCACAATATATATTCATTTAAAGAAAAAGACCAGATATGATAAAGGTACTTCAAAACAAACTAAAAAATCGTCAATTAGTAGATAATCTTTCATTCACAGTTTTGAAGTTCGAGAACACTATGCCTAACAATGACTGAATGTCATACTAAATTTCAGTGCATTTAAATAGCTTTTGTTCATCTCATAAATTAACTATACTGTACAATATGTATAACTTTTATGAGAGTTTATGAATTAAGTTAAACTACTCACTATAATTAGATGTAATGTATATTCTTTGTTTTTAACTTCTCTGCATACCTATCATGACATATTCAACTATAAAAACCACATCATATGACAAGTATCAACAAGCATTTTGCCACTATGATTATTGTCTGGTTTAGATACAAATTGTATCGTAATATTCAGTAGCCTTTATTGGACATTATACTACAACTGTGCTTTGAAATATCATTATCATAAATTTGCTTATAACAGTCTACACAATACATATACATACAAATGATTGGTTAATATGAAGGTCATTTGATGATAACTAATCACATTTAAAGTTATAGATTAACTACAAACCAATCAGGTATCTTCTTTGTAGAATCAACATTGAACATATTTCATTTTAACTGTTATTCACCAACAAAATGTTTTCTTCAATTAATTTGAATTTAGGCCCATAAATTCATTAGAACAAAGTGGTTTACCAGAGGGTAATCAAATAAAAATTCAAAATAAATCATTTTCCGGGAAACTACCTAGAACAATTAATTATTCATTTAATTTACATCAAAATAATAAACAAGTCGAAAATACCATATTAAATAATAATATTATTATTCAAAAAGAAAATAACAGTGAAGAGAGTTATCCCCAAATGTCAATTAGAGAAAGGTAATGATAATCTTTTACAATACTTCTATGTTGTTATACAATATTGACAATGACATATTTGTTCAACTATAGATACTTAAATTGTTGTTGTTGTTGCTGTTTTATTGTCCTTAAGACGTGTATATACAAGTTAAATATTGTCTGATTACATGCAATTTGTTTACTGAATTCAAAGTATGTAAATATAGTCCATTCTAGTCAGTTTTAATATATTCAGTTTCTAATAGATTTGTCCTGAATAAACTAAAGATTTGAAAACATTGTTTAATGTGTAGCTAATTTTCTACCATGTACTGATATCAGATGAAGAATTAGTGGAAACTAGTAAGCATCTGACACTTTTTGTTTTTCATTTAGGTTTATCAATCTATAGTATTGCAAATCAAAAAGTTGACTACATTTAAAACTATAGATCAGTTAACAATGAATTATGTCGAGAGATTTCCGAGGGTATTATATGTATAATTGTCATTTTCGATTATCGTCACAATTTTATCTTTTTTTTAAATGTTGGACTAATTTACAACTCATTTGTGCAGGTTCTTAGAAGTCTAACAACCAAATGAAACAGTTATAAGTGTCAAGACTTTATGGAACCCAAACACTAACAAACTAATTTATTCGGTTATCAAGCACCATGTGAAAAGTAGAGTTTCTTACTTTCAATACAGTCTAAATAATTTGGACACCTGAAATTGAATTAAGCCCATATGGATTTCACGAACTTTGTAATGGAATATTATCTACAAGTAATCATCAAAACTATTTTATACAATTATCTTTCTTCATACCATCTATAAACTATCTGTACAATAATGAAAACTGATTTAGTTAGTAAATACGCGTGATTCTCTGTTTCATAGTTATTTTGAACTAGACAATATGGTGCTATTCCGTTTATGAAATATTTAATATGAATATAAATATCGGTTAACCAATCAATTGTATAAATGTAGAGAATAACAATATTAACTTTTGACAATGACCTTCAAAGAAAGATAGTTTCTTCTTATGATATCAGTAAACATAATAATATAGTTTACTAAATTTACCTAATACATTATGATTTTGTGTAAAAAAACTATTATTATATTTCCACCGTAATATCGACGATACATTTTAAAAAAAATCTTTCTTTCCTATCCTTTGAACCATTTAAACAGGATTGCATGTATTCAACAGAATACTTTAAATTGGAGAGAGCGCGTTGAAAAAGAAGAACCAAATGTAGATAAATCATGTGATCTCAATAAAATTCGATTATCATTAGTTGAGAAACAAGAATCTTGGAAACAACGTGTTGATTATAAAAATGATTATGATTTTCCAATATTTGAACGAAATAAAAAAAGTTAGTGTGTGTAATACAATGTGATCTATTTTATTCTGTATTCAAATTTTACTCTTAAAAAGAATAAATTTCAATAGAATGACACAACACATAAAAATGATACGACAAATAGAACCATACATTTTAGTTTAGTCAATTAATTATGTATTTGAATTAGTAACTATTGTTATGTTGAATGGCGCTTAGTACTGACTGAATTCCATTTTAGTCCTATACCAGGTTATACAAAACATGAATAGTTTGTTAATAAATCCTTTGATTATGACACCAGCTGATGATAGTAAGAATCCAACACTAAATATTGATCCCCTGAAAATTGTAGATACCCGTTGCTGTTCAGGGATTCAAACTAATAAGGAAATTCGGTTATGGAGCTTCACAGTCAGAAACGGCACTACTGAGGTATTTGGGAGACGACTGACATTTAAAACTGAGATGCAATTGACCGATCGTTAATCATTGACCAATGTCATGTATGCCAAGTTCTTTGCGCTGATCAAAATCTATCTATTAGGTCACAGTGGACCTACTGGTCTAGGTGGCTTGAAATCAGTGGTAACATCTCTGACTGTGAAGATGTGTGACACGGGTTAAATCCATCAAAGAGCATCAGTTTTCTCGAGATTACAGGTATATGTTGCAGACAATTGCCAAACAGAAAAAAACTCAGGTCCAGCGTTTCCTGTTAACCACGTCTAACCAGCACTTTGCATCTCTATATGGTGCACGCGATGTCGAGTCACTTAGACTAACGGCCATATCACAACTTGATCGATAGAATTCGATCAACACTAAGAACGACATGATGTTCATCAGATTGGTCACTATCTAGTGATCAATCAATTGTAAAGAAATTATTTTAAATTTCAGATAAAAGTATCTACTAATATGACCAATGTGCTGTATGAACGTATTTGTTTTTAAATAAACATAAGGTCAGCAAGATATTTCCAACTTATTTATTTTCCAAATTTTCTAATATCATTTTCATGATGAATAATGTATAATGTGTTGTTGAAGTGATTTAAGTGAGTCAAATGGGCGTGTCCTACATGTGATCTAAAGCGAAATTACTAACCATATAATAAACAGATATGATTTTTATCCTTAGGTCATAACTGCATTAGTTGCGTTAATTGACTCATTCATAAATAAGTTGCCTTGGCATTTCATTGATAAAAGTTTACAAACTATCTTGTAAGGAATATTCCTTAGTAAACGGAATACACCCATTGATACATTCAATAAGAAAGATTGTTTCAGCAAAGAGTTCTCTTTCCAGCGAATTCATTTCCAATATTTTTGATTTGCATTGTGCTTTATTCATATTAAAATTACTTACTTACTTACTTGAAGCTATTACCCCTCACGGAGAAGCATATGTCGCCCATAAACACTCTTAATCAAACTCTGACCTGAACAATCCTTCCAGTTGTTTCCTCTTCATCTGGGAGCTAGTTTGTTCTCTCACATAGTTGACTTTTGCGGATGGTATCAGGCCAACGAACATTCAGTATCCTACGTAGACAAATGTCTATAAATACTTGTACCTTTTTGTTGATGGTTGTGGTAGTTCTCCAAGTTTCAGCTCCGTACAGTAAAACTATCTTGACGTTCGTATCGAAGATTCTGATTTTGATATTGTTATTAAAATTACTACTGATATGATTAATTTTCAAATTTTGTTGAGAGATTAGAAAGTTAGTTTACATATTTACATGCATACTGAATCACTACTTTTATAAGCACATAAATAGTATGTTATTATTGATTCATTACTTCTTAGTAAAATACGCAATTAATACGTTGAATATTCAAATTTAGGAGTGAAATATACACATATATCATAGTGACTAAATCAATTAGATTTAAGCAAGTGACTAACTAGAGGACATTCTTAGCTTTGCTTATTATTCCATTCATAAATAATTGACTTCAAATCTATTTTATTAACGCTCAACCCGGTTCACATAACAATGTAACATATTCAAATACTTATGTTAAAATTAAAATGATAACAGTCAATTAGAAACAAATTATTTGAAAAATATCAAGTTGAATTCTTTCTAATAATTTATGACATACTACTTTTAGAAAAAATCTCTTTAAAGTTAAGTAGTTGAGTTGACTAAAGTTGAAACAAAGTGTTCAGTGCACTTTTTCAAAGAACAATAATTGAATTATTCTAAAACTTTACATTCTTGAGTTAGTTAACTTTTCAATGATATTTTTAGCTTATATGAGAATTAAATTAAAACGACTGTCATCAATTTTAATATAAACGTTATGGATTTAACAAATAAGTGTTTGAATAGGGGTTGTGGAGATTATTAGGTTTTTGATTGAGATCATGAACCGATTGATGTTAGACCACCAGTGAAAACCTGGAAGCACTGAACGGCCGTTTCATCCTATTGTGGGACTCCTCAGCAGTGTGCATCCACGATTCCGCTCATGGGATTCGAACGAAGGGCCTTCAGTCTACCGCACGAACGCTCAACCTACTGTACTACTGAGCCAGCATCCAGTGGTTTTAATGTCTAACCTCAACCAGTCCATGAGGTTGCGCGACCATCTTCCATTATAAGGAGGTGGATACCTGTCTCTACCCGACACGGATTAGCTACACTGGTCACGGCTTCTCACTAGAACTCCGAGAATTCCAGCGCTTCCAGGTTTTCAATGGTGGTCTAACATCAATCTCAATCCAAAAGTGTCTGAATTTATTCACAATTAAATAATTATGGTTGCATTAGTGTTTTTGGGATACAATCTAACACAGTATTATAAAATACTTTAAAAACTTTTCTAAGATCTTGGGTTGCTCTTTAGCTATGTATTATATGAATGGAATTCATAACCTTTATCTGATTACTTCCATACAAAAGTCAATTGATACCATATTTGATTGTGTGAAAACTACTGAAATGTAAGATATTTTAATCGAGGCCTTGTAGTTTTTTAGATATTCATGAATTATTATTGCTGTCAAAAAATAATTAAATTGTATGATATTTATGACCATAATAATTTATATACAAAGATTACAGGTTTTTTCTGCCTGATTTGTAAAGATGGTGGTTAGAGACAATTTATTTATGATTCAGTGTATTACATCTAGAGGTTAGACTCTTGATATAACGCGTACAACTTGAGCACTCGAACACTAGAACCCTCCAAGTCTCGAATGAGAAGACAGAAGATAAATGGAAAGAATGTTATTCCAAACAGTGTTAAATATGGTACAAACCTCTCAGGTATTATTCGTATTTATAGTAAAAACGAAATCATCATTATGCTCATCCAATCCGCATACAGGTATCTTTAGCATTTGCCCAGTAGGGAAGATATATGTAGAGATTCTGAAGTATTTTTTCAAGGTATGATCGAATTGAGTGTTTCCAGCTCTTTCGGAGCTTCTTTGAGCTTCGTCGAGTTCACCTGAGGACCGTCCTTACAGAATGCAAAATTAATTCATAATTAATTAAGATTTCCCGTTATATCTTTACTAAACATGTTAGGTACATAAACGATGTTTCAATATAAGGAAATGTATCTGTTATTAGAATGATACAAATATTCAATTTTGTGATATCTATTCCCTCTATTTGAGTATAAACTAATCGGGGAGCTAAGTTTAAACAGTTTATATCCATTCACTTTTCATCATCTAATTTCTTTATAGATCAATATTGCAATTACTAAAACGTTTAACTATAATCTCAGATTTTATTCTTCTGTCCTTGTAGCAAATGACTATACTAGTCTAGAACCTCTTCCATCGAAATGTCCTCATTCACAAGATCTAACAACAAACACATCGAAATGTTTACCAGTTGAACCAATAATACGCAATACTAGCAAAGAAAATCGTTCAGGTAAATGATTTTTTTTATTTACTAATGAAATAATAAAATAATTTACGAATTAATTAATGCAATAAAGCTGTCAGTTAGAAATAGAACGTGACTTATTGTAATAACAACTTGATATTGTTGATGTTGGTGAAACCTGAGACTTTGAACAATTATGTTTATAATCCATTTAACTTACAGTTTAATAAGAAGGAAGGAAAGATGAACCAGATGTTTGTGTTTGTTAGCACCAAGTAATGAGTTTTGATTCTGACACTCATGCTAGAATTTTGAATTTCACCAGTTTTAGTAAATAATGTAAGATATTACTAATTATAAAAGGGATTTAACTGTTATTTACTCTCTGAGTAACATCAGCTAGTTATAAATGAGAAATTCTTCAATTATTTGATATGTATTCAAAGAACAACATACCTTTATTCGTTATGAATCGGTCCTACTGGAGCATTTCAATTGATTTATTACATTGTCATGACAAACGTTATTGATTTGTACTGATATAGAGAAAACTTTACCTTTTAAATACAAAGCTTGAATTTTTCCAGAGGCCACGGTTAAATTCAGTATAATTGTATGGAATAGTAAACTTTTTAACTTAATCTTATTCTTTTAGTTCCGACAACATATACTTTCATTAGTTACTTGTTAGGTGAACTATTCAATAGTGTTACATATTAGAATATTAAACTCAATTACAAGATGAAATTCTATAAATAATTAAAAAAATAGACGTTTTGAAGCAGTTAACTTAAATTGAGATTCATGAGTCCGGTCTGTAATTTTCATAGGGTTAGTTCCTAGAATCAAATGTTTCAAAAGTAAATAATTATCATAGGATCACTCCATTTGGCGTCTTCTAATAATTTTATAAATTAGATGTTTAGTAAAAGTAGTTTATGGGAGGAACGTGTATAAATGAATTCGGTTTATTGATGAAGCTAAATAAACACTTTCTACAAGTATAAGAATGTTATATAAATAGAACTAGAATAAGCCAATGAATTCGTGATGCCATCAGCCATAAAACACATACATGAAAGCTGTTAACAATATTTATTATAATCATTATGATTACTTCACGTCTGTATTTTCTTCTAATTATTACAAATTTCTATATTTTCAACTAACATAGTAACACAAACTTATGTGTTTATGACGTCATGATCGTTTCAAACAAAAAAATATTTTGATAAATCAAACTTGTTTGATTGTGAAAAGGGTTCATAATCATTTAGATCAGATGAAGTACAAGTGTACACAAACTGGTATCAGCTAGTGAGCCATTAAAAAATCGAAAGAATATTGTTCTAATTTTGCTATTGTTTTCACACCTATGTCTCTCTGAAGAATCGGATAGGTGGTTTTAACTCTTATTTATTAACAAATTACTAATGCATAATTTAATAGTTTACCTTTTCAATTTAAGCCATAATTTAGATATATCACTCAACCGTTGTCAATTTTTATTAGTGATGTCCGTCTTATCCCAGTCGTGGTTGAACTCTGTCAAATACGACTTCTGTCTAGAATTTCGTAACTTATTTTTGAAATCTGCCAGTAATGAGCACAACTTATCCATAAAATTTATAAATATTTATGGCTAGTTCAGTGTACACAAAAATTGAGTGGATTCAATGTATTTTACTATGATTTATGTTCTTCATAAAAAGGAGAGTTGTTAAATATATGTTTCAGTAGTTGAAATCATGAGTCAATTGAAGCTAGACCACCTTTGGAAACCTGGAAGCACTAGATGACCATTTCGTCCTATTGTGAGACTCCCCAGCAGTGAGCATCCACGATCCTGCTCGCAGGATTCGAACCCAGGGCCTTCGGTCTCGCGCGAACGGGGTTTCCAAAGGTGGTCTAACATCAATCGGTTCATGATCTCAATCATTTGATATAGTCAGTGAAAATGGCAATTCAGCACATTCAAAACTAACAATGCTCACTAGATAGATACATATTCGTGATAATCTTTTCAAATGCAAAAGATATAACAAGATTAATTTATTGGTCGCTTCACATGTCAACTTCAAGATGAAGAAAGGCGGTAAATCTTTCAGAACTTAATAAAACTTAAACATTAATCAGACAAACCCATTCTCAATGTAAAATGTTTGTTAATTAAATAGTAAGTAGTATTACTTTTAAGGAGATAAAACTAATTGCAACTATATAAGATGACTTGCTATTTACTGTAAAATTATAATTCTTGGTAAAATTTGAAAGAAGAAAGTTATAATAACTCGGTATTTTTAGACTGATAGTTTTATAAGCCATTTTAGATTTTAAAATTATCAGTTTGTTATTACTAATAAGTCGACTGGCCATAGAACCGTCTAAAATAACTTTCCTTATTTACAGTTTTTTTAACTCCATGCCCAAACCTCTTCTTTTACCTGGGTTTTGAATCGGCCGTAACTGTAGAAGAATTCCATAAGGAATTGATCATAGAAGTGATATTAAAAAATAATTCTTTTATAAGAAAACCGGCCATGTTTAATTCTGTAGACCAATAATAGATTATACTAATTAATTAACTAATATTATCATTATATGTGAAAATTATATTTGAAATAATCTCAGCAATAATTTCAACGTTTCATCCAGAAAACTTGTCTGAACTTCTTCAGGGTAATATTCAAAATCATCAAAAAAATATATAGCGTCTAACAATTATGATTATTACTCTGAAGAAGTCTGGACAAGTTTACTAGACGAAACGTCGGAATTATTTTAAATTGCAATCACTGAGATTATTTCAAATACAATTTTCATATATAATGACTTCTCTATACTCGGCGTTCAATTTTTACTAAACCATTCGTTAGAATATTGACGAATATTCGTAATACCTAATGTTATGTTACTTCATTTACAATTTGAAACTAGCCACTGATGAGACACTGGCTATATTGCTTATCTGAACTAATTAAATGCATCTGAGAAATAATTGAAATTTCACTTTAAATTTATCTTACAATGATGATGATGATGAGGCGGAGTAAGAATGTGACGATTTCTATTTATTTATTCCATTAACTTTTAATCTGTAAGGAAAGTTTAAGAGGAACCCTGACAATTAAGTGGATGTATTAGCGATTTGTGAATATGAAACTTTACTGATTATATTCTGTAATCAATTATTCTCTGGAGATTTTACTCAATCATAAAAATATTTTCAAGTTTTTCGATGACCAAATTACTGAATACGTGCAATATTTGATGAAATGGTATATTATTACAAATTAAATTGTCCTTTTTATGAAATCACATTAAATGTGGAAATTATAGGCTTAAACTAATTCTTTCCCGTTATAATTTAAGAGACTATATAAAATAATGTTTGGAACTGATGATGTTTGATATGAATGTACAAACGTTGTACTATACATACTTAACATCTGTCACTTAATCAAACATACATTTTTGTATTGCCTGATAGGATTCTCCAATAATTTAGTACAGCGACCAGGATTTTTCTGAAGTATATGGAAAACTCCTTGAATAGCTCAGTGGTAATATCTTTGGCTTTGCTACAGGTTTGAACTTGATGGATAGCATTCATTCTGTTCAGATCCCAAATATACCTAGTAATAAGTATCAGTTATTGTAAGATCTAGGTCGAGAGCTTCTTGCAAGTTGGATCTAATCACCTAACATGTAGGAAGACACCAGATCACACATTAGTAGAACTACCTATTGTTAGTTTCCTGGTCCGTATTATAGATTTGACCCCATTATATTCATTTATATTGTCTTGAATGTTCTGTAAGTGTATACTGAACACCGGATGAGATCTAATAATAGCCCTACTTCATACAGTGAAATATTTATAACCTGTATTTCATAATTTCTCTTCAACAAACTTTATGTTGGAAAACTTATTGCTAGTAAATATTATTCCTGTATCTGAATTTACGTGGAATGTTAATTTTATCTTTTTGAAGAAGTCAAACATCAAGAATCATTTACGACAGCCGATCCCATCAATAAACCTACTACCATAACGAAGCCAAGCCCACTTGTTAGACAGGTGAGATTTTCTCTTCTTATCCCATTTATCACTTTGATGGTTACATATTTTTACTGCTGAATAACGTCAATAATTAGCTAGTCAATTGACTTTATTTAGAAAGTAATTTTCGCTTTCAATCATCAAGTACACTTGTTGATGTTGGCCTATAATATAAACCGTAACAATACGGAACAAATTAAACTCGATCCTTTCTCACCATAAAGGTCACATATTTTTCATCCTTAACAGAGCACACTTACATATACACGAATTTGCATACATCTCGCTTATGAATCACCTTGACCGAAATGACATGACATTGATTTATTCAGACGTGTTTTTTGATTGATCACATTTATCACTATTTAAACTTGGATTAATTTCGATTTAGTTATTTATTTTCTGAAGACGTAGCTTACACTAAGTCACGAAACGTCAGAAAATCTAATTTTTCTACTCATCAGGATATTAAAAATATATTATTTATCTAGTACGGAATATTGTTCATTTGTTGAAAATTTTCCTCGAAACTATAAGAACAAAGCTTAAAACTGTTTGATCAAGGTGAACGGTTTAAATCATGATACAGAGAAGTTAAACACAAACAAAGCAACCTGGAATTTATGTACTTGTATGTTTTACTTCACGACCATACGATATTTTAAGCATGATAACATTTTACTTTTTCAGGCATTTCATATTTCCAAAAATGTTAGCGTACCTACCATGGAAGATAAAGAATTAACAGATTTCTTCACCAGTAAAACGACTATAGAAACAACTAGTGCAGTTGGACCAGTTAAGCTTCCGACTTTGCCTTCGCAACCAAATAAAGATTTGAACAACGTGTATGAAAGGTAAGAGATTGTAATATTTAACAAGAATGTGAATAATGTTTTATTATGACAATTATTGTTAACTACTTATTATTATCATCAATACAGTTAATAACGTATATTGAACCTTTGATTGATTGGAAAATTTTGACCATTAACTACTAATGAAGAGAGAGTTACGCTTACATTATTAATCTATTAGCCTTGACTATATGTCAGATTTTCGCCAGTCACATTTCATTATAATGCAGAAATAGATGAAAACGATAAGGCTTAATCATAAATCTATAATATGGAATATCCAAATATTTAAGAAAAATATGTTCCATATTTACAAATGAAACATACAATGAAGTTTTAAATTTATATTCAATTATATTTTTAAAGGATAGCTGATGCACGACGTGCTGCTAGACCAGAAAAACGTAAACCTCCACGGGACTTAAAAAATCCTTTAAAAGCTTTAGAACAGAGAGAAAACATAAAATCGAACTATGAAGAAATTCGTACACCTTTGGAAGCTATTTCAACAGATCAAGAATCTGGTAAACATATCACACCGTTTAAAACATTATTACGTACAGTGGATCCATCTGTTAGAACTGACCTAGGTAAATTACTTTTTGCAGAATAATAACCATATTATTTATTGATATTTTAGTTAAATATGCTTATTCAATGGAACGTATTTAATAAATAATTGTAACATATTCCAGTGCTAAAACATACAATACGTTAAAGTTTACTTTTTTTCAAATTCAGGACATATATGAATTGTTCTGGTCTATACACTGTTAGTTTGCTAAGTCATTTTTAGATGTTAATAAAGACCGTTTCTCTAGATCTAGCCACCAGAATTCAAAGAAGGTACACTTTACTTTGTGTTTTCAGTCTGAAATACGAATTTATATGTAGTGTGTTAACTTTCTCGTACACCTCCTGTAAACATTTTTCTCTTCTTACAAAAATTAATCTTTCTACTAATGCTGACACTATTACTGTCGTGAACAAGCACATGGGTGGGCACAACCAAATGTGTTCGAACACTGAATTACAGAATCTCTTAGTAAAATCTGAGAACTATACAGTAAATACTTCATTTGAAAAATGTCTATCAAATGTCTTAGACTTCATTGTTTCCACACCGATCATTCTCGGTTCCCGTTATGTTTTCTTCGATCTTCTTGACCTGTTACTATCGTATATTTCACTTCCTATTGATGATACATACTTTGTATATCTGTTGACATCAATAGCACACACTACACCATATTACTACTTCTACTATTTTGAGCTTTGTGATGATAATTTTATATCACTGGGCTAATTTGTTGTGTCAAATTTAACTGCCTCTCATGTGTTTATCCAGTCCTAATTTCATTTGACTGACTTGTGACTAAGTTACTTCTAAGTTGTTTTCGGTTAAATTAATTTGAGGGAAAAAACACAGAAAACATATCCATATATTACTTACTACTTACTTACGCCTGTTACTCCAAATGGAGCATAGGCCTCCGACCAGCATTCTCAAACCCGCCTTGTCCTGGGCGTATGCATGTCAATAGTTAATAAACGTTTATGATAACTTCAAGGTTATAGGAATGGCAATTTAAAAACCAAAGATAAACAATCACTTCCAGAAAGAAATAGAATTCGTTTTAACCAGATAAATAACTCAGAAAATGAAAAGTTCTCATACGTTTCTACAAGAATCCACTTTAGTTTTGTTTATATTAGATGAATAAAATTGAAGAAACAAGTGTTTAACAAAAGAAAAATGAACAATTCAGCTTAACTTACTGTATTATTTCACTATACTATTGAAGTTTAGATATTATGTCTCATAAACAAAGTATCTTTTACTAAAGTAATCTAATTTTTTATGATATGTCAAAAAACAGATGAAATATGCTCATTTATCTATTTTTTTTGGTTCAATAAGGAATATGATCTAGTTTTTATACTGTTTATTGTTTGTTGAACATATTGAACAATTTGCATTATCGACCAAGAAATTAATACAGTTAGCCTGCATATTTCGGTGTAATCAAATGTCAGTTAAATAAAAATGCATAGAACACACAAATATACTTTTAATGGAGTCACTAAAACCTGACATCAGGCTCACTATAGGTAATAGATGCAATCAATAACTTGATGTAATTTAATAACTGAACCAATCTATTTAAGCAAAGTATAACAGGAGAAATGTTATAAAAACAACAAGTGTTTTTACTTAATTCTTATCACATTATACATACATGTGGATGAAATAATGTTTATTTATTGATATAACCAAAAGTTATCTACCAGTATACAGGTTGTGGAGATTACTGGGTGTTTGATTGAGATCATGAACCGATTGATGTTAGACCCCCAGTGAAAACCTGGAAGTACTGAACGACCGTTTCGTCCTATTGTGGGACACCTTAGCAGTGTGATCCATGATCCTGCTCATGGGATTCGAACTAAGGGCCTTCAGTCTCGCGCGTGAACCCTTAACCTACTGGACCATTGAGCCGGCATCCAATGGTTTTACTGTCGAACCTCAACCGATCCATGAAATTGCGCGACCATCTTCCATTATAACAAGGTAGATACTAGTCTCTACCCGACACGAATTAGCCACACTGGTCACGGCTTTTCACTAGAACTCCGAGAAGTTGTCTGCTGTCCATATTTCAAATTAAGTTAGTCAATACCTTGAAGAGGCCATCAGGTTAGTAGTAGTTATTACTACACACATAATTCAAAATGGTGAAAATCGGAAGACTAGACAATGTAGAAACTGATACTTATGAAACATATGTACACTTAATATCTGTACGTACTTTTATCTATGAATGATTTTGTTATCAACTTTTGTGTAGTCATGAATAGTGTTATAACTAGGAAGTGAATATGAATCCGATGCAATCGTTAACCTATTTTCATAATTAAAAAGTTAGTTTGCATTTCGATATAGTAGTACTAAAATCATATAATTCGGACTAATTATTGGCGGACTTAATACATAATTAACTGGTTCTTTCTTCTGAATTTCATTAAAAATACAACTAGTGCATTAAACGTGACGAATTTCTGGGGCTTTTGCTAAAACATATTCAAACCTGTTCGGGCCACTTCAAAACTATTTTAGTACAACCTTAATTTCCCAGAAGTTCAAGTGGTTTAAGCCGTATGAATCGTTTAACATGATACTTAGTATATATACTGTTACAGTGAATATTAAAACCCTTCAATAAGTTGATAGGATCATCAGAAATGTTGAAGTCGAAATGTGTGATGATGGTTCTAACTAGTTTACATGTCCTAACTAACTACTTATAACACAGAAATCTAAGGATTTTTAATACTTTTTAACAAGTCATGGAAATAGTGAAAGATAATTAATCATTGATAAAGTGATATCAAATTCTGTTGTGAGCCTTTTCTTGCATTAAGAACTACTTATTAACGATGGACGATCAACACATATCTTACTAGTAAAACGTAAAACGTGTATTCCTTATTCTTGAATTAATCTAATAAATAGTCAATCAACTGTGTGTAGACTTTTATTTTACTAAACACGATTCAACTGTAAACAAGTGGTATTTACTTATTAGAAAATCATTTATCTTTTAACAACTTTGTCCCTATTTTACTGACTTTCAGATTTTGCTGCAAAAAACTCAATTCTAGCCGATTCAGCTAAAGCTGGTCTCGCATGCTCTGAGGACATAAATGAGGCCAAAGGTAATCTACGTTCAGTCCAAGAAGGACAATCTCTTCGTAACTCTTCAACCCAAAGACAACTTTTACCTTACAAACCAATCATGTTGTTGCATATCAAAGGTCAGTGTACATTATCGATACCTGCTGTAACTCAGTCAAAGTGCTATAGGAATGGTTAAACGGAAAAATTAGTAGTTTGTAGCAAAATATTCACACTTTATTATTAATCATTTGAAACTTTAATAATGCGAAGCTAGCAATTAATCTGAAGTTTGACAGTAGTATGGTCTCAAAATGTTACAGATAATTTATAAACTGGAAAGATGGAAACTTGTGAGAGATTTACTACATTTGTAATATACTCAAGAATGAAGACAAATTTTTTTTAGATTACTCTTCGCCATACATTGTTCAGATGTTGTTATTAATAAAAATGACAGGTCTTTTCTCTAAGATTAGTTAAGCAGTCATAATTTCCTTTCTTTTCAATATTTAACTGGATTTGTAGATACTTATTTACTAATCGTTTAAATTCGCTTAATTTATAATACTTCTTTAAAGCATGTGAACGTAGTAATTGTCTCCGACAAGCTCTGTCGTTCATTGTTTAGTCTATTTTCACCAAACAATTACATGATCTGAAATCAAGGAAGTTTTAGAACATTTTTGACATCATAGCATCCGTGAAGTACCTATGCTTGACATTTGTCAACATCAGAACAGATGACTTTGAATTTCATCAAAAGCATTCAGAACTAAAATCGATTCGCTATTAAAAGAATACGGTCAGTTTTACTTCAAAAATATACCAACGTGTGACCACCTCTTAGTAAACATCAATTTCAAAACAGAATATCGTATGCAAGCTGATTAACTGAGAACCCAAATGTAATCAATAAAAACTATTTGGCCACTCTTTGTTGAATACATCTGGTTATATGTTAAATTGGTTGCAATTAAAACTAAAATATTTGAGTCATAATCTAAATGGAATGAATCTTGACACTTTACAGAAATGACGTTTCTGGAAGCCACATATCGTCCTTGCCGATAAATCCTAACAAGTAAGGTCAAAGCTATATGACTTCTGACCATTAGTCTCCAGTACGAGCAGAGTTTCGCAACATACACAAAATTTTCAGTCTGGCAAACTGAATTTTGTACTTGTATTTTATAACATAAAGATTTCACCTGTCATATAATAAAAATGCTTGTACATATAATCAGACAATAATAAGAGATTTTATACTGCTCTTTCTCATTTATACTGTTTATATACTAAAGGTCGACGTCATGTTCAAGTTCGTTTAGTTGCCCCTTCAGCCAAATCTATGAATTCCGGTGACTGTTTTATTCTTATCACACCTGATTCAGTATTCGCTTGGTTTGGTGAATCCGCCAATATTGTTGAAGTGAACAAAACTCGAGAGTTAGCATCATGGATTCACAAAAAGCATGAACTGTCATATACAGGGAATTTAGGTGATGCAGCACAAAATTTCGGTGATGGTTATATTGCAATACATGAAAAGACTGATTCTTACAATGTTGTTGGCTGTTTGGATAATGAGAATCAAAATAATACAACTGGTAGTTCTAATCAGCACTATTCTTCAGCTTTAAAGTTTTGGAAAGCTCTAGGTTATAATTCACCACAAATGGTTCATCGTAAGTTATGAGACTAATAAATTATTTTTAGTCACTTTTGTTGATGATTTTCTGACATTTTAATAGTCCGATTCAAATGAACTGTTATTAGCTCTATATTTTTGGTACAATATAAAATTCTCAGCCCAAAGTATTACGGTAAGTTTCCGTTTCCTATTTCTTGATCGATACTGACGATAAATATTGAGTGATCGCCAACTAGACACTAGAATTTCGGAAGTCACCATCTGAATAATATTCATTCTTTTCAACTCATATTGTCAGCCATCAAGATGTCTCCGATTGTATATTTTTGTAACTTGTATAACGAAAAGTCGTAAACTTTTCACAAACGCACCTGAATAGTTTATGCAATCAATTCACATAATGAACTTTTAAAGCAAACAAGGAAACAGACAACTTGTTGAAATATTTAGATGTCAGGGAAAGGTAACCCAGATATTCAAGCAGACCGAATATTAATGATTGATAGTTAAATTAAGAGGAAAACTAAAAAAAAGTCTTAAATAAGCTTCACTGATCTCTGGTGATAGAAAAAATGTTTCAATTGCGTTCATTATGAAATGGTAAGTTGTCTAAACGACAACTATCTGTATCGGATCCATCTACAACTGTCCAGATTCATAAAGAGTATTATATACATTATTAATAATGGAATTTAGTCCAACTTAACATCATAATATGATGTAGAATTTATAAAATGGAAAATAAATTGAGTTTTTGAATAGATATTACTAAAACCATCGTTAAGTATTAACTTCTACAAATGGATGTCAACTAATGATATAAATATATAAAAGAAATATCACTCGATAAACAATAGTTTACTTTGGGAGCTATTCAGTAACTAAATAACTGATGTTGAATGTCTATATGTCATCCTAATGTAGCACAAAACCATATGAAGAGATTTTGTCTAAATGTGTATGTAGATATGTTAATCATATACTTTCTTGAAGATGACTTTCTAATATGAGAATGAGCAACTGATAACCATAATATTCCAAAAGCATCGTTTTTAGTTTTGAAACATAAATGGAAGATTAAACATGGACAACAGGCAAGAAGTCTTGATGTAAAAGTTGGTGCTAGCTGGAGCTCGTCAACGAGACATATCCACAGTTCTCTTAGGAATCGATGCTTATCGTAACATTCAAAACGATCTAACTCAGTCTTACAATTTATTTAATAGATTCTATTCAGTCGTAATTAAGCACTAGACTAACTATTATGACAATGGTTATTCATTACTAGAATATGATCTTACCTCATATTTCTTAAATCAGTCAATTAAGTTATCTTTGTGTTGCAGAAAAGTAAAATATAAAAGTTTTTGCTACAACTAAGTGATTTTTTCTGTTTCAAAAATTATATCCTATTAGACGCTGGACCACCTGAAGAAGACGAACGCTATGAACTAATGATTCAGCACACTAATCGTGTGTATCGTGTTACTTTAGATGGCTTAATACCATGTGAAGAGTGTTGGGGTAACCCAGTGAAATATCATATCTTACAATCAGATCAGGTTTGTTTATGAATTAATTAATATACTATAGACTTAACGATTAATATTCAACGATGTTTTTGCCAATAATAAACTTGTAATCAAATGTAATACAGTGTATAAGCTCTTCAAGAGTTTTAAAAGTGTAACTGCTACAGTTGTTATTGCTTACAGTTTCCTCACAAAGATATCAACTGTCTATACACTACTTTGAAAGGTCACTTTTTTAACAAAATGATCGTGAATTGTGTTATCAAAAGTATCATAAAAAGCAAATATGAATGTAATAAACAAACTAAACACTTTACAGTTTTCCTAGAAAAATTCTACACTCATGATGTATCTGTTTGTTTAAATCGTTTACGACAGTTTATTTTTAAGAGTGATCAAATATTTCAAGTTATGTTTAGGTGAATCTTAACTATGCATACGATTTCACTATATATCAACAAAATCTTGACTGTGAACAAAGCTTATAATCAAGAAAAATTAATCAGTGATCATTCATTTACGTCCAGTATATTAAATATTTATGTGAATGATTATTCTATCAGATTCTTAAAGTTCAATATTTAGATCTAGTGGTATTGTGTATTTCATGTATTTTGTTCTTACTGACTTAATTGTTTGGTGCCTTCAAGTGATGAGTGTTAAAAAAAACATTGAAATTTGTTTCTTTCATTTCAGTGTTATTTATAACATTTATTCAATGAACAAATATGTCTTTTACTCAATAGCCTACGACTCCAATAAATGTTTTTTTTGTCATCCATTACATGTATCGCACGTATAGGTAAAGAAAGATACCTTCAGATGATGGAGAAGATTTGTAGCTCAGGTGGATGATTTTGATGGATTTCTGTTCTCTGAGCTGGATGGTTTGGTCGTGGAGCTTTCATCGTTCTTCTGGAGCCTAGGGTAATAACCACCAAGCCAGGGTACATGCAGTCCAGCACGAAGCCAGGTGCATGCATCATTATATATTTTTGGGTTATGATAATGATCCTTCCGTAGGTTCACCTACGGAAACCTTGTTACGACTTTTACTTCCCCTAAATAGTCAAATTAGGTCATCTCAGCATCAGTCGAGCGGCAACGACCTCACTAAACCATTCAGTCGGTAGTAGCGACAGACAGTGTGTACATCATTCTTCTGAACGACATCATCAACGTTCAGAGGAGCGATGAAAGCTCTACGACCAAACCATCCAGCTCAAAGAACAGAAATCCCTCAAAAAAAGATACCTTCAACATGAAATAATACCTCATAACATGGTATTGCTTAAAACTTTGTAATATTTCATCACCAAAACACTTTCAAAGAAAAACATCAATTTACAATTAAATAATAATAAATTCAAGTTATTCATCTGAAATAGATAGGCTACATGTTTTTATATCACTGGCAAAACAAGTTGATTATCACTGATATACTTCATTTACCACTGATTGTAATGTTTTGTTATATACATATATATAAATCAACATTTTGTAAAACTGCACTTTTAACAAAAGTTGTATTGCACATATAAAATGTGCAAGAAATAAATCAATTCAAATGTTCTATTTAAGATAAAAATCGATTACCTTAACCATGTGTTACACGTGATCTGTGTTGTTCTTCGAAATTTTTTATTTACATTCATCCAATTCAATACATATTCTATCTATGTAATTTTATATTTGATATTTTAATGATTGTGAATTGTTAGTACTATGTTCAAAAGTATTAAGATAATACTGTCTCCTGTATTTTAATTTCAGTAAATTGTATTGACTCCTAGTCTCTTATCAAAATGCCCAACAGTTAAAAAAAACTAAGATTTAAACAGAGTGATTAACAATGTAATACAGAATACCCTTTTTATACTGTTGAAATTTTGATTAAAGATTGTTAGTTCAGTCTAATTTAACAGTTGACTAGTATGTAGGTTAAAATTTAAAACTATCCATCTATTAATCTCTTGTTTGATTGGTTTAAATCATGAGTTAATTGAAGCTAGACCATCATGAAAAAAGCTTGAAAGCACCGGACGGTCGTTTCGTCCTATCGTAAGACCTCGATCCCGCCTCGCGAGATTTAAACCCAGGACCGGTAGGTGTCGCTCAGTTTCATGGATTAGTTGAGGTTAGATACTAACACTGTTGGATGCTGGCTCCGTGGTCTAATGGTTAAGCGAGCCTTGGGTTCGGATCTTGAGAGGTGGTATCGTGGACGCGCACTGCTGAGAAGTCTAACAATAGGACGAAACGGCCATCCAGTGCTTCCAGGTTTTCTATGGTGGTCTAGTTGCAATTGACTTATGATCTCAACTATTGAGATTACTATAATATCCACAAAACCCCTCCTGATACTAATCTCTTATTACAAATTAGTAAGTGTTCAAAATTCAACAACTCTTTAAGCCGATTCTATGTTTTATTGTAAAAACATTATTTTTAGTGCTGTTTTCTTTACTCGTTGATACAAGCTGGATCAGTTTTTACTTAAAAGGGGTCAACAACAAGCTTTTACTCTAATTTTCTACCGTTTAGATCTTACCAGAATTATCCTTATTTCAAGATATACTAATACATGAAAAAATGTACTGACGTACACATTACTGTTATGGTATATAAGCTTATATAGAAGAATACTATGAATTCCCTTATTAGTTTTCTCTTCTGATCATGTTACTTTTAAATTTTTCGCAAATGATCAATTTATTTGTTAAAACTGTTCTTTCAATTAACTATAGGCATTCGTTTTTGACTTTGGATCTGAAATGTATTTATGGACCGGTAAACAAATTACTTCTGAACTCCGTCAAGCTGGTATTGAATTAGTTCATAAGGCATACAACATGAATTATGATTTTGGTCAGTGTAAATTAAACCCACTGGATCCATTAAACTGTAAGTAATAGTACTAGTATTGACTTCTTAATTAATCAGACTATCGATTTTCGATCTAATCATTTCAATGAAATTATTCAGTTCTAAATAGTCAGTATCTGTTTATTATTCATATTGTTGTACCATGTGAATGAATATCATAAATTAAAATTATCATCATTAACGTATGTAGTAAACAAAACTGATCAGACCATTTACGTAACCTTTAAGTGGTCCAATTATTTTCGAGACAAGCTGTTTTCTCTCCCATTTTAAATATTACATTGTTTAATTAAACAGATTTTTAGGTCCTGTATGAGAATTTAAAGATTGAAGTGAAAATTTATTTGGTTTTCGACATGACCATATTCGGTTTGATTATTTACTACTTTACTTAGTATGTAAGGCGTAATTCTGTTATAAACCTAATTGGAAAGCTTATAGAGCATGGTAAAAGAGACAACGTCATTTTCAGTGAAGATTTTATTATTTCTTTATAATAAATCTTGTCTAATCTAGTGTTTTATGAAAAATATTTTCCTTTGACGATAGTTTACATCATGGAAAAATATTGGCTGGGCATTCACAGATTTCTAGGAAGCACTAGACAGCTGTTTTAGCTTGGAGGTATTCTTTAGTGACCATTTACTACTCAACATGCCTCCGAATTGAGGAGCATAAGATGTTGCAGGGAGTGCCAGCATCATTTGACCGCTGTGAAGGAATTCAGTAGTTCATATCTATTTACTAACATCAATGGCAGACTAACTTATAGAAAATAATAGTAAATAATCAACAAAATGATTACTTCGAACCATCAAAGACAGATACAACAAGATTTGGAATCCGAGTTTTGGATTTCAGCTTCAACAATAGAATGCCATTAATCTTGTATCAATTGATCAAATAAAATACCGCTTCTAACGGCAGTGTATTCTAGTTGCTTATAACGTAGGAAAACCTGTACGTCACGGAAATATGGTTAGTTCTTGAGTTCTGAACTCACCAGTTTCCTTCTACGGGTTGGAAGAAAAGAGAAGTCATATCAGGTGCAATATCATTATTTAATACGATATGCGTCATAAAAAACATCTTTTAATTTATGGCATGATAAATTAAAGACATATAAATGCTGAAATCACTCGCTATGAGGTGAATCATTCATCACCAGAGTTGCATGGGTAACTGTTTTCTGCACTCATTTTACGAGCACATACAATAAAGTAACTGGCTATTGACTCACCTTCTGCGGAAGCTATTATACAAAGAAATGAGAATCATAAAAAAGTGGAGGTTCTCATCAGCTAAACTTTGTTTTAAACCTGGTTTATTATCCACTATTATGGCTAAGATAGTAAGACAGTTTATTAGCGAACTAGATGAAAGTCATTGTTTTGATAGTATTGGTTGCACGAAACGTTATGAAATTCTCCCCTTATATATGATGTTTCAAGACATGTGCTTTAATCATATGCGGGTTGATTTTTATTATAAAATATCGTGTTGATATAGTTATTTTTCCTGTTGCAAACTGCCTCAACACCAAAATAATAATCCTTTTGTTTCAAAGACAATATTTAGTAGACTATATTTCAAAGAGGATTCATCAGAGGATATAGTAACAAGTAACAAAGAAACCCTGATGGTTGAAACAACGTTTATAAATTTTGATAAAGATTGAAACATTAAAAGTCACCGACAACTATAATGTTGTCGACGAATACAACTTCAATTCTTGTTTAAAGAGAAAAAGGGGTTTGCGATTATGATTTGAAACAGTTTATCTATCGTATTAGTAAAAGCTTCTATACGGTTAGTTTGACAGTCAGTTATCTCACTTATCTGATCCATATCTAATGCAGGATTCCTTAATGGTGGCAGGTACTTACGATTTTTTGTACCGCTGAAATGAATTACTTAATCTGTGTTTCTAACAATAAATCAGCATAATTACATCTGATTTATATAAGTAGTATTTACATGGAAGATTCAGTGTATACATGTCAAAGTAAAATTCGTTTCACCCCCAAAATGCTACCTCTCTTGTTCAATATTCGGATTTAATTTAATTGTAATTGAATATTTAATAGTGGAAATGTAAAATTTGAAGTAGATCTCAGTGTATCGATTTAACTCTGGACTGTAATACTATCAGTTGAATTTGAGCAAATCTAAATTGGACTTCTGTGATCTGATATTGATTATGTATTTTTGGCTATTATCATGTACACTGACAATAAACATTGTTATAAATATCATTTTATTTATAACAAACTAGTTATTTCACCATACTTTATCTGCTACATGACTGACATTATTCAGTAACCTTTTACTGTTTTTAGTTGTGTTTTTTTTTCCTTTCTTTCGAAGTACGACAGTAGTTTAATGTACTGAACTTATTGGTATATCAATATCTGACTTAAAAGAATGATTGACAGACAAACTAAATGATTAGTTTTTCACTTTACTTATGCTATGTATTTCAAGCATCTTAAATCGACTGAATTGATAAAACCAAGCGAATGTTATTTTTCAACAGTCCTATGTATCTAATTACATATTTTTGTCGAAGAATTAGGAGAAGTGTATATGATATGATATGTTATCATGAATTGATATGGCTCAATATACTTCACTTAACATTGTAGATATTCAGAACAATTTCAAAAAGGAAAAAAACTGTCACAGAATGATTTACATTATCAATAAATAAATAAAAGGATAAGGAAGTAATTTTTTTAGTTCTTGAAACCTTCATAAAGTGTACTTGTTGTTATACTTTTTTATGACATTGTGTAACTGTATGCAAAGATAAATGACATTAAACCCGATTAATTTATACACTGGTTAATGAATCTATGTATACGTCTATGTCAAAAGATTCTGTATTTAAATAGTTTGTTTCGGAAAAAAAATGTTACTTATTTTTCATAAGCTGAATAAAGTCGTATTCATCAATTGATACAACTGGAAACGTTGTTTTTATTCGATGATTGTGACTTTAATTTCTCGATTATTGGATTACTCATTATCAGCTGATGTTGATTATTAACTCGAAGGATTTGAATTTTCTTCAGTGAAAACTACAAGTACAATTTTGTTTAACTAATATACATACGTTTAAAATAATTTTATTCAACAAAATGAAGAATCGTTTTGATCCGTAGTCAGTGCATCTTATTATTTTTAAAAAAAAATTGTTTTAGCACACACCAGTGATATATTAGCTTCTGGATCCAAACGACCAGAATGGACTTTATTGGGCAAAGTAACGGATAGAGGTGAAACAGTCTTATTTAAAGAGAAATTCTTTGATTGGCCTGATACTTCAAGAATTCAAATAAAATCATTGAAACCTGGAAAATCAATCTCCACGGAGGTAGGTATAAATATATTTATTTGTTAGTCTCATGTAATTAGATTTTTTTTTTAAAATTCACTTACACAAACCATAAATCAACTTTGATGTATACTTATTCTACTAATTTTGTGGTATACCATTTTTTTTTGTTCTAAAGTATGGTATGTAGTTCTATTACAACTAAGTAATGATGAATCCATAATTCAATGGATTCTAGGTAGTAAATTCTAGAATCTTGTTTACTATATTTAATCTCTTAACACATTTATAATATTACTATCTCAGTTATGACAATAGAATAATAATAATAATGACCAAGTATTCACATTTATTCAATTTACTAAACTATAGTACTACATACGTTCTAATTAGTGTATAAAGAATATAATTTAGTAAATTATTATAAAATGAATATTTACTAAGTAAAAGTACTAATAGACAATTTGTATTGGATATTTATTTTATTGAATGAATCCAATGAAACACTGACGATCAATTTGTCAGTATAGTTTTATCTTTTTAACTTTTATAATCTGTAAAATGCTGAGAAATTCATGATAATTTCAATGGTTGAGATCATGAGTCAGTTGAAGCCAGACCACCATGGAAAACCCAGAAACACTGGAAGGCTGTTTCGTCCTAGTATGGGACTCCTCAGCAGTGCTTGCCCACGATCCCGCCACACACCCCACCGCGAGATTCGAACCCACGACCTATCAGTCTCGCGTGCGAGCGCTTAACCACCAGACTACTGGGCCGGCATCCAACAGTGTTAATGTCTAACTTCAACTAATCCACTAAATTGGGCGATACATCAACCATTATCTTCAGTGAGCTGATATCTCACAACGGACCGGGTTGAACTTCACTGGTCACTGTTTCTCACTAGAACTCCAGGATATATCTCTTGAAGCCAGTCATTAGTGAGCATATGTTGATTAATATCAGAAAGGGTTTTGTGAACATTATAGTAATTGCAATGATCTCAACCATTGGAATTACTATAGTGTCCACAAAACCCCTTCTCAAATATGATAATGTTGATTTTCTCCTTAGATCAATAATTTGACATTTATCAGTTAATAGATAGAAAAAAGATCTAGATCAGTGTAAACTGTTTTAATCTATATTAAATAAGTTATTCACAAAGATGGACAGTGGATAGCAGTAGAATCCAGGATGTAGGTTTCGTCATATTTGGGACTCCTCAGATGGATGTACTTGTATCTCAGGGTTGATGTTCATTACAGGACTTGGACTCAGTACCGTTCACTTCAAACGCCATCGTGTTATCCAGTTAGCTACCGAGTCCTGACAGTCACTTGCTTGTGCGATGGGGTGAAGTTTAAGTTGACTTGGTGTTGTTTACTCGAATCTTCGCATTGATGTTTAGGACTGAAATTGATCAATCTGTTATTGGCGTATGTGCATATTGTGCGTATTGCCTAGATATCGCCAGAGTGAGCATCAACTCTGAGATACAGGTACATACAGCTAATGTGTCCCAAATAAGATGAAACGCGCGTCCTGGATTCCACTGCTAACCACTATCCATCTTTGCCTAGAATGTTTGTGAATTATAGCAATATCGAGGCAATTCGCACAGTATGCACATAATAGACTGATCAATTGCAGCCCTAAACATCAATGGAACGCTTCAAGTAAACAATACCAAGTGAATTAAGGAATTGTTCACATTTATTTACCTTTCAATAATTAGTATTTCAAAACTCATTTACAAGTTTGATTAACAAATGATAGTCATTTTACATAGTATCTATTCATAAATTCATGATTCATATAAACAGATGATTGTGTCAGTGTATGCAGTATATAAGTTGTCCAATTCGTTTCTAAAGTTTATAGAATGTGCAGTATTCTTAGATGGTAGGTGAATTTTGTGTAAAATATATTTCACAATAAATGTTCATATTTTTAAACACAGTTTTCCTAATTACTTTCTTGATGAATATTTTAAAGAGTTCTCCTGCTATAGCTTCATTGACTATGGAACCATATTCAGCTAATGAACTCTATGAAACTGCAATTAATAATCCACCACCTCCTCCAAATCTACTAACACTTGAAGGACGTTACATTGGTCGTGGTGGTAAAGTATGTCGTTATGAAGATGGTATAATAAGACAGTTTTGGGTAGAAACAAATGAACTTCGTGTATGGCATATTTCCGAATTTGCTAGGTACGAAATAGCTTTAACAAGTCATGGACAATTTCATAGAGAAGATACTTATGTCATCAGATGGTCATATAAAATTGCTTATAGTAAGTAAATATTTTCGTTTATAATTGTTGAAAGTAATATGTTGATGGTGACTTTGACGACGAAAAGATTTTAATGTCATTGCAGCATCTATTTCCGACAAACATTTATGGTAATTGATCATAAAATCGTAGACTAACATTTCATTTCTATCCACTACAGAAGTAGGAGTGCAAAGTTATTTAAAGTATGTCCTCGTTGGATCATGTCATGAAAGTCGCATCTGTAAATAACCCATAGTTCTTCAGTCTGAGGCTTTACATCTGAAGTGTATTAAACTAACTCAAGTGTGTCTCAATGTTCTCATATTTTTGTAGTGAAATTAAATGACAAGTTGCAGAGTTGCAAATTTATTTATTTCCTCTTTGTAGTTAACTGATCAATATATTGTTCTTAGAAAAATTGATACATAGAAATTTTAATATATAAAATGTTCCCAGTGTAATATATCACCAATTGTATAAGCTTAATTTTCATCTATTTGATAAAGATGGAAATGATTTTTACCTCATTTTCTTCAGGCTTACAGAAATCAAAAACTGAAGTACTTCTCATCGTGTTTAAAATTATTTAGCATTAAGATTTAGTTATGTTATTTTCATGCACCTAAGAATACTTAGATTGAATGTTTAGTATTCTAACAAAACTGTAGCTTAATATCTTCTGTACACATAAATTGTGGTTAAATGTACGAATTCCTATGGCTTCAGCTATATGTAGGAGATGGGAATGAACTTCGTTGGGAAATAATGGAGGTATACGATAAATCACTGGAAACGCTTCCGATTTATCTATATTATGACAGCTATCAATAAGATGTGCCAAGATAGAACTGTGTTTTGTTTTTATCTAGCTACTTATAAACCAAGCTGGTAGATGTTCACTCATTCGTTGGTTAAGTTACCTGGTAGTACGCCCGATATAGCTATCGCCACAGGAGCAGCTGAATTTGTAGATGCACATTGAGGAGACAGACTCAGGTAACTTATCCTTCGTTTGAGTAGATATCTCTGGTTGACTCGAGAAGATCAACGCAAGATTGGTTGCGTAGAATGTCGTGCTAATTACTTTCGTTAACCTATCTTTCAGAGTATCACTAGACACATCCCCGTTGAATTGTAGTTTCATGTATAATTTAAATGATGAATTTATTAATCTAAGTTGTGATCTTTTAGTTAAGAGATAACAGTTGATATTGAACATTGTGGTGATTAAAAAACGTTAACTGTATGAATGAATACATACGGATTTTAATAACTTTATACATTTCGCATAACATTTACATATAAAAAGTCATAATTACTTACTTACCTAATACTCCTCGTGGAGGAGCATAAACCGCCCACCAGCACTCTCTATGCAAACCATAATTGGTCACCAGAAATAAACCTTACAACTAACATTGTTATGTTTATTACAAATGTCTAAAAATATCACTGATGCTCTAACTTATTAGTTCATTGTTTCTGCTTACAAAATGATATTATCAACAAATCTTAGATGAGTATTGTTGAAATTACAAGTAAAAGGAGGCTACCTGTATCGGTAACATTCTTCAAGCTTTTTAGTCTAACTCTTCCGATTAAATCATTCACAATATGTACATTGTAGACATATAATTAATCTAATTTTTAACAATATTTCATTCAATGATTCAACAAATTATAAATTATTTTGAATGATAGTTTTAAATGAAACCTAAAATATGGACAGAATTTATTTCAAATCTACAGCTGTTCACTAATTAATTACCGGTGTTATGTTGTTTTAAATCATTTGAACTAGTTTAATGGACAAAAATTAAATGAAACCTACTGTATATTCCCAATGTTATAGTAAAGTTACATTTTTTATACTGAAATATAAAATTGCTTATTAGGTATATTTCTTGCAGGTAGCAAACTAATAATTGTCCATTATCACGACCATAGTCAATTAATCTTGTTCTTCATTTCATAGATAAGTCGATGCAAGATACCAAAGTGTTCACATATATATATACATATTGTAAACTAAGAACACATTTGGAAACAGTTGTGTTTAGTGTATTAAAACTGATCAAATTAAAAATATCACATTTAAACTTTAACGCATTAACCTTTTTGAACTGTGGCAACCATAATGATAAACGACTAAATGATAAGTTATCTGTACAAATAATAATTGTATTATTCTTATGTTTATTTAATACAACATAAATACTATCTTTAATGGACAAATTCAAATTAGAAGCATTGACAATTACTAATCATATATATATGAATAATAGTATCAGTCAGTCATTCATATGAAAATTAGAACTAGACACATATGTACATAGATTCAAGTTGTTATATGACATTTACACAGCGTGATTCTGGAGTATTTTGGCTATTAACAATATTAGTGGTTGTAAAAGACAATACATACAGAAGATATGATTCCAGAAGAAAATATGAATTCCTGGAATATAAAAGATTACTAGGTTAATTTTGTTTAAAAAAAAACTGAAGATCAAAATGAAAATAAAGAGTGCCAATTTAAAGGATTCTTTACTAGGTATTTTTATCAAGCTTTGACTTGATAATTCTAAATAAATTGAGCAATGGGTAGATTGTTATTACCATCCCATGGAGCAGAAAAATTAAATTTTCTGACGTTTCGTGACTCAGTGTAAGCCGTTTTCTTTTTCAGAGAAAAAAAGCAAATAAAATTAACTCAATTTTAATTAGTACAAAGGAAGGAAGGAAAAATATTTAGAATAGCCAATAAAAAAACAGGTCGGGCCAAGCCAATGTCATATTATTCTGAGCTAAATCATCCAAAGCCTCTGACCACTGATTATGATAATCACGTAAAAACTAATCTATTAGTCTACACCTAATTACTCAGTTCAACTTAACAGTTAATGATTTCATGACTGATGCCACGTTTCGGTCTCGCCACTATTTTCTTTAAAATCAATCCTGCACTAACTATCATTACTCTTCGAGGGATTATATAAAAAAAACGATTGATGTAATATATATCTCTCGTAAGGAAGTATGAAGTGACTTTATAGGCATTTCCATACTCATTTCTACCATTCAACTTATAATAATATGTGTTAGATATCAAGTGTACATACAGTTCTGTTGATAAAAACAAACACTCATGTTTTAAATGTCTAATTCTTATTGATTACCAAATGAAGTATTTTCAAAGCTTGAAAATTTTAAATTATTATTTGCTTGCATATTTATAAAGAAAATGAAGAGTTCCAGTAAAACCTTTCCAAAATATTTTTATAGGAAATATTCTTCTCACTATGTTTATGGTTCACAGCTTGTCCTGTACCACATATAGAGAAGTTCAAACATTTCACTTCTACCTAAAGTTTGTGCTGGTGACGTCGTTCAAAAGAACGATGAAAACTCCGCGATCAAACCATTTAGCTCAAAGAACAAAAATCCATCAATATACATGACTTCTTTCGATGAAAAATAATTCAAAGTTATGTGTGGCTAGAAAAAAACACTAAAAAAAGAAATCACAGTATCAATTGTTTAGTCATTATGCATAATATTATTTTAATTGACATCAATGTCTAGTTACTAGCCCCCTCCCCTTTCGAATTAACCAGAAATTACTAGTATAGGGGTACTTGAGATTATTAAGTTTTTAATTGAGATCATGAACCGATTGATGTTAGAGCAGTGCTTCCAGGTTTCCAAAAGTGATCGAACATCATTCGGTTCATGATCTCAATCAATAACCAGAAATTATTCACCTATCACATGAAAATTCATAATATTGGCTTATAATTACTTTTTATTGAGTAAATCAGACTTTTGTATTAAACCTCTAATTCACCACTAAACATTAGATTCAATATCACTGATCTTTTGCCTTACTTATTATTGAATCTCATTTTTTTATTAATTTATTTCATTATCAGCCAGTTTACAAAATAACAATAAACGTCCAACTGAAAATGTTCGTGAACATTGTGCTTATTTCTATTGGCAAGGATCACGAAGTAAAATAACAGAAAAAGGGGCAGCTGCATTAATGACAATTGAATTAGATGAAGAAAGAGGTCCACAGGTTAATTATTTTTTTATAATACTATTTCAATTTATTATATAAATTAAATTAATTGATATCGGTTAGACAATGTAGACATTATCACTAGTGTCAATATTACTAGTTTTACTGTTAAACAAATTCGAAATGGACATAAAATGATAACAGACTAGTAAATCATTTTGTATCATATTCATTTGAACCTCAGTGAATAGGCATGAACGAAATACCCCTACACACGGATCTTTATTCCAATATATGAGTCAAACTGATTCATCAATGAATCACATATATCTATTTTCTTCATAAAAACCGCCCACTGATTAAGCAGCATCACTGATGAACACGGTGGATCTGATGCTGATATGAAGGCGCGAATCAGTAAAGCAAAAGCAACAATATCTACAATTGAAGAATATCTGCAATACAAAACAACTGTCAACAAACACCAAACTCACAATTTTCAATACAAATGTCAAAACAGTTCTACTGTATGTGGCGAAAACTTGGAGAACTACCAAAGCCATCATCCACAAGAAACAAGTGTTTATTAACTGTTGTCTACACAAAATACTTCGGATCCATTGGCCAGACACTATTAGCAACAACCAACTGTGGGAGAGAACAAAACCAGATCCCAATGGAGGACGAAGTTAATAAGAACCACTAGAAGTGGATAGGACACACATTGAGGATATCACCCAACTGCGTCACGAGACAAGCCCTTACATGGAATCCTCAGGGCCAAAGGAAAAGAGGAAGACCAAAGAATACATTACGCCGAGAAATGGAGATAGACCTGAGAAAAATGAACAAGAATTGGATGGAACTAGAAAGGAAGGCCGATGACAGAGTGGGTTGGAGAATGTTTGTCGGTGGCCTATGCTTCATTGGGAGTAGCAGGCGTAAGTAACTAACTTACTCGTTGTCCTATTCAACAATTAGAACGAAATTAGGAGTTTAAATATTGAAAATCTCATGTCGTAATTCAAATAATTAATAATTCGTTTTAAAGTTAAACTTTAAATAATTGTTTGACTGTATTGCATAAATGAGAATGTGCATACCTCATTCATTTTTGTATTAGTTATTTGAAGTCTCAGAGTGAATATCAAAGCTCTGGAATGAAAGTACATCCAGTCGATGAGTCCAAAATAAGACGAAACACGTGTTCCTAATTCCACTGCTAACAAATGTTTATTTCTGTATATAATATTTTCATACTGTTCATATTATTAAAGCGATACTAAAGTTAGTAGGCACTTCCAGCTGTGTTTATTATAGAGAAAAAAACTGGTTATTAATTTATTGTACAATATATTTTATTTTAATAATAATAATGAACAAAGCAAAAAACTGCATGATTTACAACAGTAACAAAATAAGTAACAGTTCAATGCTTCTTATTACACGTAAACAGGTTAATACTACAACGAGTGAAATGATTGAAAAAAAAGGTTTGATATATATTTTAGTTAAAGAAATTGAAACACAAATATGGCATAAAACAGTTGGTTAGAGGGATAACATTTTATAAGCACTCTTTTCATTATCTAATTTAAAGGTGTCGTATCTTATGGCCTTTTTCCCCCATTCAATATATGACGTATTGATACCGCCAATTAGAGAATAGTGAATTATCAACTGCACCAAAGACGTGTAAAACCCGTACGAGCAGTCTATAGACTTTATCGTATCGTATTGGTTCATAGATAATTCTCAAGTGTTACCATTCATAATTCTTGTCGGGATATAACAAAAAAACTTCAATATGTTCACTTGTTTAAAATAGAATCTAGTCCGGCAGTTTTCACAAAAGACTGATAATAGCTGAAGGACTAGTGAAAGTAACTGACCATTGTACAGCTGAGTCAAGTTTAATTAAGATGAACTAGTTGTCTAGCGCTCCATGGTTTTCGATGGTTTTTTAGATGGTTTCAATTTGAGAGAAAAACTATAATCATTTTACCAATCGCTCATAATTTATTTGAGAATCATAAATAATAATTGGGATTTTCAAAGTAATTGGGTAGTCCGTGATGCGAATTTCTGGTAATGGTAGTGGCATTCCTCCAAGACATTCCTTTTTATTTGGATTTAGGACTGATAATGTAGTTCAAAATAACAATAAAAGCTAGCTCTGAGAAAGCAGCAATGTTTAAATATCTCAGAATAAATGATATTTTGTAAGACAAATGGTGGGTAAAAAGTCCTTTTTTAACAAAAGTCTGAATTTTATCCACTTGATGGCATCATTCTTTTCCTAATAATAAAAAATCCTCAGAGTAAAAACACACTCACAATATTTCCTTAATTTTATATTTGTAACAATAATTAGATAAGAGTGATCGAAGGAAGAGAACCACCAGTATTTTGTTATCTATTTAACGGTCGAATGATTACGCATGAAGGAAAAAGAACCGCACAAAAAGAAGTAAGTTCTAAGAATTTATTTGAAGGGTAAAGTTTCATTTTGATTGTTACATGATTACAGTAATAGGAAATTTAAACTTAACTTGTTTTCACTTTTCAAATAATTTAATAGTTAATGCTAAGGAAAAGGAATATCCAGACCTATTAGAATTAAAATCTACACACAACCCCTTCTGATAATAAACATCTGCTCACTAGTGACTGACTTCAAGAGGCATTTCCTGAAGTTCTAGTGAGAAGCCATGACCAGTGAAGTTTAACCAGGTCTGTTGTGAGATATCAGCTCACTGAAGACAATGGTGTACGGTGGAGCAATTTCAGGGATTGATTGAAGTTAGACATTAACACTTTTGGATGCCGGCTCAGTGTTCTAGTTGGTTAAACGCGTGGCGCGAGACTGATAGGTCGTGGGTTCGAATCTCACTGGAGAGGGTGGGATCGTGGATGCGCATTGCTGAGGCGTCCCATACTAGAACGAAACGGCCGTCCAGTTCTTCCAGGTTTCCCATGGTGGTCTAGCTTCGATTGATTCATGATTTCAACCATTAGAATGAATTAAAAGATAATTTATGAGTAAACTTATTAACGTTAAATTACATTTTGTTTTGTTTAAAACCATTTACCATTGGATAAGTTTATCAGCTATAATGAATGTTAACCATCAAACAAGAATACATTTTCATATCACAAATGATACTGGATTTCCACCCATTAGAAATACTTTTTTTGACTCATTAAGAAGCATATGTTGTCACCTGTTGTAGTTGAGATATAACTATAACGTCTTATTAATCAGAAATCATAATCAAACTAATAATTTTTAATGGTCATTTGTTTATTCAATTACTTTTAAAACAGTGAAACCGTGTTTCCTTGTTTTTTTTGGGAGGGGGGAGGTGCACATGATATTGCCAACTTTAGTTAGTTAATTATATTTCTGATATTATTTCTCTTTCCATGTTAAATATCAAGTTCTGAATTAAAATAAAACAGTTATACAATGTCAACTAATTTCAGTATCTGTTGTTAGATGGAAAGCAACTAATCTGTAAACCATTGATTCGTTTTTCATAGTATAAAATACTAAATAATATTTGAATAATTAGTCTTTGGTATTGATTCTTAGGTGTTTGATTTTCTTTCATAAGCAAATGAGACAGTTTTCATCTTAAAATTGGATAATATCCATACTTTTATTCATAATCTACTAGTGGCTAATCCAACGATAAAACTCAAGATTTCGATGTGCGTTAGAAAATGAGTTTCTATTTAACTAGTAGAGTGAGTAAGATCAGATTCCAGTCGTAGTATGTTAGTGATATAAACCATATTGTTTCGATTCAATTAAATTCATAATTATATTCGTGCAGAAATTTATGATAAATGTATTTGACTGCATATTTCTGAATCAAACTTTTCATTTATTTCCATTTCAAGTTCACTACACGTATGTTCATTGTCCGTGGTGAAGTTATGGAAGAAGGTCATCTCATTGAAGTTCCAGTTCAGTTAAATTCATTACGTCCACAAGGTGTCTTATTATTAGTGCAATATACCAAATATCCAATGTCAGATTCTGCTGAAATTATTAGAGCATTTTGTTGGATTGGTCAGTTAGTACCACCTAGTTATTTAACAACAGCAAAATATGTTCTCAACCAATTAAAGAAATGGTGAGTTTAAAATAAATAATCTCTGTCTAGTAATCAATATTATACTGACTAGTTTTTAGGATTAATTGGATCCTATCAATCAAGTTGCAGTGTATCCACTAGTTTAAGGAACTGCATATCTTAGTGATTAAAGTCTGTTGTCAAGTAATCTTAGAAAATTATCAAGTGGATATCACCCTGGGTTTTGTACTAGCATTTACTTGACAAACATTGCCTTACAAATGGGATTCGAGTTCGAATCACCTAGTGCTTAAATTGATTTACAGAATTAAACCATTTGTATATTTGATTCAACAGTACTCCAGTTCACAAATCTACGAATGCTAACCGATTACTAAACTATATTAAACCTATTTATCAGTTGAATATATTCGATTCAGATTATAATGTTTATACACCTCTAATTTATTGTCATACAGTGTATGATGTATATATTTATAAGATTTACAATGGACAATAACAATAATGTTTGGTTTTACTTGTAATTTTTCGTAAAGTTGTCCACCAGAACTTGGCAAACAATTAAATCTGATTTATGAAATTCATCAACATGATAGAAATGAACTATCTAAAGAATTTTTAAATATACTCAATTCTGAAGATCAATTATCGAGTCCATTATGCTTAGATTCAATAAAATGTAAGAGTAATGTATTATAAACAATTCTGCTTATCGATTTATGTATTAAAAATATTTAAAAAAAATTATATTAACTAATTAATGCATATTCTTTTAATGTTTGTATTTCTTTACAACTTATAACTTTAACAAGTGAAACTTTGGAAATATTTATGCTAGTTTGGTCGTATGCATCGACTAGTCAAATATCCCTGTTCTCAACTTCTCTATAATGAGTTGCTATATATATATATATATATATATATATATATATATATATATATATATATATATATATATATATATATATATATATATATATATTCGTTTTCTGGAAGCTACGACTGCATTATTTTCCATTTTCTTACCTCACTACATTGAGGCATGTCTCATGCAATCAAAATTGATCAAATCATGTCAACATCAGCCTACATAATTTACTACATACTTACTTCCGCCTGTTACTCCTAATGGAGCATGGGCCGTCTATCAGCATTCTCCAACTCACTCTGTCATGGGCCTTCTTCTCTAATTCCATCCAATTTTCGTTCATTTTTCTCATGTCTATCTCCATTTCTCGGGGTAATGTGTTCTTTGGTCTTCCTCTTTTCCTTTGGCCTTGAGGATTCCATATGAGGGCTTGTCTCGTGACGCAGAAGGGTGTTTTACTCAATGTGTGTTCTATCCACTTCCAGTGGTTCTTACTAATTTCTTCCTCCATTGGGATGTGGCTTTGTTCTCTCCCATAGTAGGGTGTTGCGGATAATGTCTGGCCAACGGATCCGAAGTATTTTGTGCAGACAACATTTAATAAACACTTGTATCTTCTGGATGATTGCTTTGGTAGTTCTCCAAGTTTCCGCCACATACAGTAGAACTGTTTTGACATTTGTATTGAAAATTGTGAGTTTGGTGTTTGTTGACAGTTGTTTTGAGTTGCAGATATTCTTCAAATGTAGATATGCTGCTCTTGCTTTACCAATCCGCGCCTTCACATCAGCATCAGATCCACCGTGTTCATCAATGATGCTGCCCAAAATGTAAAGGTTTTGACATCTTCCAAATCTTCTCCGTCAATTGTGATTGGATTGTTGCATGCTGTGTTGTATCTGAGAACCTTGCTTTTCCCTTTGTGTATATTGAAACCTACTGCTGCTGAGGGTGCTGCTACACTGGTCGTCTTCTGCATTTATTATTACGTGTGCGATAGAAGAGCCAGATCATCTGCGATGTCTAGATCGTCCAGCTGCATCCTAGATGTCCACTGTATCCTGTGCTTCCCTTCAGATGTTGACATCTTCATGATCCAGTCGATCACCAAGAGAAAGAGAAAGGTTTATTGAGTAAGCAACTTTGCTTGACACCGGTCTTTACTTCGAACGAGTTTGTGAGCTGTTGTCCATGCACGATTTTGCAGTTTAATTCATCTGTTCTGGCATTAAACACTTGTGTTTAACACTTCTTAGTAATATATATATATATATATTGTTCGTGATAACACTAAAACACATCATTTACAACGTTTTTGACTTCAGTCACTAAAAAATGAACAAAAAAAACACATTTTATCGATGATTTTCAAAAACGATGAACATGTAGTTTAGACTATAGCCACTGTACTTCTAGAATCGTTTTTTTTTGTTTTTGTTTGGACGTATGAATTGTTAAGTGATCAATCGATTTCATTGATATTTCTTTTCTAATCTGAAAGATTTTCTAGTCCCATTTCAAACTTTCATTGCTGATTAATTCCTGAATTCCATCGAATGATTGATATGAGTTTTATACTTATTGATGAAAACAAAGTTTATTGATTAATTTTATCAACTGCTTAGTTTGAAAATTGATTTTTCTCTTCTTTTTTTTCTTGAATGTTATTGTTAAACATAACACAGTGCAAAACTATCCACATGGAAACATGAACATACATGGATTAAATGAAAATTACTAAAGGCTTTGTAATTAAGCTCCACATCAAATTTCACATGTCAAAATGAATTTAGCTTCTGTTTTTATTTTAACGTTTCTTTATTTATCTTTTCATAGTTTATGAGTGTTAGTTCATATCTATTTGAGCTTACTTAAAAATGGCATTACTGATGAATACGTCTAAGGCTGTTCAACTTCTCATTCTTCGTATATGAAAGTTATTTCTAATTACTTATGTTGTCCTAAGAGTGTACTTGTTTGCCTGTGAAGTAGTCGGGAGTAGAAGTTGGAAATTTATCTGCTTATTAGTTGAAGCCTTATATTATTCAGACTTGATATTTTCCAATCTGTTATCATATCCAACCTGTAAATAATAATTAAAATCTATTTATATTTTAACATTATTAGTATTTATTCAGGTAACTTCTTAAGAGTAGATTACATGTGAAGAATTATTAAAAGTCAGTTTAGGATTGATTTTGCCAACATGTTCCACAAAATTGTAGAATCTTAGTTTGTGCATCATTGTAGTCAAAGCAAGTGAAAATTGGTCTTTAAAACTACATTTCTTAAATACGTAAATTATTGTATCGAGGGCGAAACACGTATAACAAACATTAGTGGGACGTGCAATGAATAAATACTTATTAATGAAATTCGTATTTATTAGGCGATTCCAATTTGATTGACTAGTAATTGCATAAAATCGGACTACATAAAGGTTAGATATACTTGGAGTACTGAACGTTTAAGATCTCACATAATGAGTCACTTTGATTGTGAGCATAACTAACAATCATTAAGGATCAAATGTATATCTTGCTCAAATTTAGGAGTCAATTGTGGATGTTTGTTACCCTAAGAAAGACAGCTACAGTGAAAATTCCATCGGATCACAGTTTAGTGGTCTGAAAAAATTACATTCCTCATAGCCTGTGAGTAAGGAGTTTAACTCTCCGTACTTGTCTTGGTGCACACTTCTTAGAATTTCTAAAGAAATTTAAATAATCTATATGTTACTTCTTGGTTTTCAACACTTTGCTAGCAGGATTCAGTTTTCATAATAATAATTATGTTGGTTTTTAAGATTTTCTGGGACAAATGTAGTTAAGTGTCAAGCTGACAATGATTCTTCTCTTCTCCTGTATTATCCCAGTTTTTTTGACATTGACAACAAAGTATTTTCTTGGCAACCTGAATTGTTTATTAATCTTGTTACTTACTTACTGGTGGAGCATATGTTACCCGCTAACATACTCTGTCCTGGGCTTTCCTAGTTTTTTCCAATTTCTATTCATTCTTTTGATATCTGCCCCCGATTCCCGGTGTAATGTTTCCTTTGGTCTGCTACTTTTTATTTTGCTTTGATAATTTCAAACTAGGGCTTGTTTGGTGAAGGAGTTTGATGATTTCCTCAATGTGCGCACTATTCACCTCCACCGCCTTTTAGTAATTTCCTCTTCAGTTGGAAGTCAGACTATTCTATAACACAACAGGATGTTGCTTATGTTGTCAGCCCAATGGATTCGATCATATTATCTAATTACATGAATATCTTATTTGATTAACTTTCTACCTACATAACACTCAACTGACCATCAACTTTTTAAACGTATTCTATTAATCTTGCTTATTTTGGTTGAAAATATGAGAATAAACAAAATAAATCAAAATAGAAATGTATGACGTTTTTTATCAAGGCTTTGGGTAACAATCTGACAAAGAAAATGATTATGGAGTATTACAATTCACAGCATTCAATGTTCTTATCTTGTAAAATTCAGTGGATTTCCATATCTTATTCGTTTCTTTTTGGTTGCTTATATTCTTATTTCCTTTAGTGTATTGTTCGATATATTTACTCTAAGCTCTTACGTTTGCAAACTGAGTGTAATTGAACGTGAGAAAATATTTAAATTTTCAAAATTAATTTACTCATATGGTAACTTGTTTTCCGTCCTTCATATTAGCTCATAGTCGAATGGCTATCTGGCAATTTACACACCATAAAGGACGCAAACTAGGTGTGGAACGATTAAATTATACTCTTCAGCCAGATCCGGCAAGTTTACCATTTGATGAGACATTGATCAAAACTAATACTAATAGTGTATCGCCATCATCACAATCTACTGAAGGAGTTACTGAACGATTTTTAGCATCACAAAACTTAATAACTGCCCACTTATCTCAGTCTCCTATAGAGCCGGCTTTTCCATTCCTACTTGGAGATTTATACTCTGTACCACAACCATGTAAGTGTGTAAATATTTATTTATTTTCCTCTGAAATGATAAATTGAAACCAATGCAAATTTATGTTCCCGTTCGAATACACATTTAGCCGTAAAATAACATAAACTAAGGATTACTTTTTGTAACTAGTTGTGATCTATTAAAAAAGTACTAGACAGCTGTGTATTGCTCTGTTTTTCAGTTATTATTTAACTAAGGTCAGTCAGTGATGCATACATGTTCACGCAAACACCCTAAGTTAACCAGCATATAAGACAATAATCATTTCAAAAAATATCTTAGCTTCAGGATGGATTTACTGGAGTTCAAGTGAGAAGCCGTGACCAGTGGAGTTCAATCCGCGTCGGGTGGAGACAGTTATTCACTTCAGGCAATAGATGAAGGGTTGAGCAAGATCATGGATCAACTGAAGTTAGACATTAACACTGTTGGATGTATGCTTAGTGGTCTAAAGGTTAATCGTTCGCACGTGAAACCGAAAGTCTTAGGTTCAAGTCTTGCGTATACGATCGTGGATGCGTACTGCTGAGGAGTTCCATATTAGGATGAAATGCTCGTGTACACTATTTTATTATTCTTTTCCACTTGGCTTTTCACTAAACTATCATATTCCTCTTTCCTTCGTGTGTGCGCTAATTTATATGTGGTTTAAGGATTACATGCTTGTTTAATAAAATTTGTTTAAATCGTTAAATATTAAAAATATTTCCATAATTTTATTGAACTTCAACTTCAACACTAAAGAATCATTTATTTAACTAACAAGAATTAAATTTAAATCATTTTGATGAACTGAATGCTTTCACTATTTGTCTAAATACATTATTTATTCACTATACTTATATTAAGTAGTATCTATTTTGAAAATCATTGTGTTAAAAGGTATATATTATTTTCAGTATACTATTTATTTATGTAATGCCCTTCGTTAACAATTCATCCCTTTAATAAATTGATCATTTAGAAGTTATGTAATTTGTTGGTCAGGTAATAGACGGTAAATACGATGTATTAGTTTGTATGTATTCATGTATGTTTTATGTAGTTGCTGCGAACAATCGATTTTGTTTATGTACATTCTAATATCCATTTTATATAATACAATAATAATAATAATTTTGATTTAATGGTAAACAGAAATTTTGTTAGATATTTAAAGACTTAAAGATGTAAACATATTATGAAGTTAACTAGGTACTGACTATCTAGCTGTTGTATTCTGCTTCTGAATTGCTAGAACAATGAGCAAAATAATCTTTCTCATAACTGAACTTAAGCTTTTTAGTTTAAGAGATGAATATCTATTAATAAAAGGTTATAGAGATTGTTGAGTTTTAATTGAAATCATGAATCGATCAGTGTTAGACCATCATTGTAAACCTGGAAGCAGTAGACGACCGTTTAATCTTATTATAAAACTCCTCAGCAATGCGCATCCATGATCCTGCATGGAGGATTCGAATATCCATTAATATTCAAAACACTATTTGATGTAATGTGATGTATCTATGACTCTAGATATGTGAGTGTAGAAGAAATGCGATTTTCCGATTGCGTCCACAGAATTATGAAAACATGCCTAGATGTTTTAGTATACACATGGAATTATACATAATATTAAGATCATTTAGAAAGGAGATCTATTGGAACCCATTGAAACCTCATAGCCCTAATAAATGTTTTTCGTAACATCTCGTAGCCGTCCTACTGCGTTTTTTGAATTTATAGCTTTTGTGGAGCATTTACTCTTTCAAGGCTTCCAAAAAGACTATTAGGAGATCTGAGTTTGAAATTCTGTTTCGCTTCTGGTCACCTAACAGCTACTGTGTGTAAACTGAGATATTGTAGGCTCCTCTATTAGTGATGAGCACCGGTGTCGTAAGAAATTTGGTCATAAATGATTACAAATAAATTATGTCACTGAATTGACTCATTATATTTTGAATAAAACCAGTGTATCGATAAATCAGTTTAAGAAGATATACAGCCAGTGAAAAGTTTCGGAAAGAGAATATGTAGGCTTGTTACTAATTATAGAAGACATCATATGATGGTCAACATGACAAACTGTGAGTCATATATGATGAAATTCGAACACTTCACTTCTACCTGAAGTTCGTGCTGATGACGTTATTCAGAAGAACAATGAAATCTCCATAACCAAACCATCCAGCTCAGAGAACGAAACTCCACCCAAGAGATTTTAATCTACATCATACCTACGACTTTTATCAACATTTAGTAAGTAACCGACTTAAAAGTCTCTTATGGCAACCAGTAGTAGTTTAACATTTTTAAGGTCATACTAAGACATTTTCATTTCTTCTTAATTATACCTTACACAATTACTTGTAATATTATTAACTAGATGAAGTCATCACCTAATTAGTTCTTTGAGTAGAAGATAGTTTTCAAATCATGTTATACCATAAACATTAGTGAATTCCTACATATAATTAAATTGTGCTGCATATTATTACTACTTTTAATAATACTGATCTTTTTATATAATAACAAACTCATTATCCATATATATTTTGAGTTATTTATATCAACATATTTCACACTCTTATGATGCTGTCATGCTGTAATAATACAAAATATGACATGAAAATAAACATATGAACTAATTAGAAAAATATATACCTTCCTTATTTATTCACTTGATATTTTCATATGAAGTTTGATTTAATGGTGAGAAAAGCTGGATGGTTTGGTCGTGGAGCTTTCATCGTTCTTCTGAACGACATTCCAAAAACACCAGAGAATTTTTAGAAGCCTGGCACTCAGGTCAATCAGCAATCAACAAGCATATTGAAATCAACCCAATTTATCAACCAATCAGAAAAATCATGCACAAATATAGGAACAAAAATCAAACCAATGGGAGACACAACCAAAGTAAGGTAGTAAACAATGATAAATTTAAGGTCAATAAGAACCAATCAACACCGAGGTGTACAGAACAATCTGTGAAACGAACATGGAGGAATTCGAACACTTCACTTCCGTCTGAAGTTTGTGCTGATGATGTCGTTCAGAAGAACGATGAAAGCTCCACGACCAAACCATCCAGCTCAGAGAACAAAACTTCATCAAAATCATCCACCTGAGCTACAAATCTTCTCCATCACCCTTAGCCAAAGGCTATAAAACTGTAAGAAAAGTTTACAACTTCATATCAGTTAGTTAATAAGTGATCATAATTTTGAAAAGAATTGAGTAGAACTGTCCAAAAATCAAATAATAGATCCGTTTTTTTTCGACTCCTTTCAACTACTATTTGTTAGCAGAGTATTTCGTTTAAATTATTGGTCACATTGATATTTTTGAATGAAATATTATACTCAGTAATACTTGTTAGTCTACCAGTGCTTAAAGTTTTATAATAAGTAATAATGAAAAAAGATCATTAATGCTGAAAACAATATTGGCTTATTGAGTTTGTAATTTTTATTCATTCAATCATTTTTATATTATGATATTTCAGCCCTGTTTCTCATCATAACTCGAATACCGTCTGTTTATATTTGGGAAGGATGGTGGCCTATATCTACTTTAACAAGATCTCGATTTATGTCACAAAAGTTATCGAGATCTTTTTCAACTTATAGCAAGTCTCCTTCTATTCCAGGAGATCAAACAGATGATTATAGATGGAGTACATCATTAGATGAATGTTTTGAATTTAGTCCACAAAATTCAGCCGATGGATCTTTTGATTTTGAAGAAAATGAACAACCAGCTTTGACGGGAACAGGTCGTGCTCGATTTTGTGCTGTACGCAAAGCTGCAATGCATACCGCTAAAGCTCTAGCAGATAAATGTAAGTTGGCTATTACAATTCATTTCTGTCTAACCAAACAAAAATGTTTTAAATTACTTACGCTAACGATAAAGACGATGTTGTATTGTATGTTATACTTCTGTAAACTGATTATTTAATGCATAATTATTACCGGAAAACTAGAAATATCTAAACCTTAATTTGAGGTTCCTGCGATCTATTACAAATAAAGTCTGAATGAACTCATCGATGACAGCATTGACAGTATAATAACAGTTTGGTGCACAATCTGAAGAGCTATGAAATCAGTTATCTTAGTATCCATGAGTAAAATATAATATCAATTCGAAATCAGTATATGGGGAATGATAATCCATGAGTTAAAAAAACCCAATTATTTTCTTGTAAATAATCAGAAATTAAGTTATAAGAAGTGAATTATTCGCTAACAAATGCATCCTCCAATCACTCTAAATCATGTTTTATTAATTTAGGTTTGCATAACTAACTAGTTAAAGTCACCAGCATATTCACACATAATGTCTAGGTTAACGACTAGTTTATGAATTCATGCATGGTTAGTTATTTCCATTTCATTATTAATCAATAATCAGATAAACACAAATGATAATTCAAAACGTGAAAGTGATAAATTTATTGACTAGATATATCATTTATATCAGAAGGGGTTTTGTGGAGATTTTTAGAAATTTCACAGGTTGAAATCATGAGTCAATTGAAGCTAGACCACCATGGAAAACCTGGAAGCACTGGACGGCCGTTTCGTCCTAGTATGGGACTCCTCAGCAGTGCGCATCCACGATCCCGCACTCCATGGGATTCGAACCCAGGACCTACTGGTTTCGCGCGCGAGCACTTAACCACTAGACCACTGAGCCGGCATTCAATGGTGTTAACGTCTAACTTCAACTGATCCACGAAATTGAGCGACACATCCACCATTGTCATCAGTGAGTTACTATATCGCTTGGCGCGAGACTGACAGGTCCTGAGTCCCATAATAGGAAGAAAAGACCGTCCAGTGCTTTCAGGTTTTCCATGGTGGTCTAGCTTCAATTGACTCATGATCTCAACTATATCATTTATAAATGAAAAGGTAAATTCTAATATAAGCCTTAATTCCCAATGTTTTGTTATGGCTAAAAATTAAGGTTAACTATAAAGACTACTTTTACATATGATTCTATTTAAATCAGTATATGTTAATTATTATGGAATGCAGTTGGAGTACTTCAGTACAGCTTTATTTGTTAAACATTTATTTATATTCTTTTTTATATTCTCGTAATCTAATAGATGGTATTGTCATACATATCATGCTATTGCATAAAGTGGAAATATGCTGGTTAAAGCTTATTTTAAGCAATATACATAATAAGCATTTACTTATGTTATCTCATTAGCTTCATCTAGGGTACAAACAATATGAAATAATTTGTTAATTCATAGATTGAATTCATCTTGTTTTTTAGTAAATATCAAATGTCATAACATTATAGTATACGGAATATTAACTATTATTATGTTAGAAATACTTAAAGTTTTCTATTTACATACATCACATGATCTGATCTGTTGATTAAGACCATCTAACGACTTCAGTTAAAGCTATCCTTATGGATGACTTTTTGTTATCTAGAAGATAATTAGTGGGTTTAATTCGTTTTTATGTTGGTTGCTTGGATCTTCTCATTGATTTTCAGGATTGTAATTGATCAGTCTCTTATTAATATGTGTACAACCTGTGCGGATTACCTTGATATTGTCTGAAGTTACAATCATTATAAGCAAATATGGGTGATAGCTAGGAGTAGAATCGATAATGAAGGTTTCATCCTATTTGGGACTCGTCAGTTGGATGTACCTAAATCTCAGTTTTGATTTTCACCCCAGGACTCGAGCCCAATGCTGTTGTGGAAAGTCAAACAGCCAATACAGGGGTGAATTAAACTTCACCCCATCGCACAAGCTAGTAGTTATCTGAACTCAAAAGTTAAGTGGATAACGCGATGGTATTTGCAGCGAACAGTACTGGGTTTGAGTCTCAAAGTGAACATCAAAATTCTGAAATGTAGGTGCATCCAGTTGAAGAGTCTCAAAAAGAATGATACGCTCGTCCTCGATTCTACTGCTACCCACTTTCATTTCTCTTCACTTGGTATTGTTTTGCTTGTATCTTCCCATTGAGGTTTAAGACTGAAATTGATCAGTCTGTTATTGGCATATGTGCATACTGTGCGTATGCCTCAATATTGCCTTAATTCACAAGCTTTTTTAGGCAATGATGGATAGTGGCTAGCAGTGGAATCCAGGACGCGCGTTTCGTCCTATTTGGGACTCGTCAGCTGGATGTACCTGCACCTCAACATTGATGTTCACTCTGGGACTCGAACGCAGTACCATTCGCTACAAATGCCATCGCGTTATCCACTTAGCTACTGAGTCTTGACAGCCACTTGCTTGTGCAATGGGGTGAAGTTGAAATTCACTTGATATTGTTTACTTGGATCTTCCCATGGATGTTAAGGACTGCAACTGGATTGTTATTAAGGATAATTAAAAAGTTTCATTATGCCGGTGCGTTCACTAAATAAAACTATGCGGTTTTCACAGTTGATAAGTCAACCTACTAGTATGAGATTAATCGCCGAAAAACTAGATGATTAAAATGTTATTTCTAGGAAATCAGCTGTAACAGAAATAAACATATAGGAGTTGTCTACTATCCTTCTTTGAGTATTACGAGATTGATGTACCTGCAGGTACACCCAGCTGACGAGTCCCAAATAGGACGAAACGCGCGTCCTGGATTCCACTGCTAGCCACTATCCATCATCATCATTTCTGTTTATAATTAATATGTTTAGAAAGATATTCACTGAATTTAAGCATCTACTTTTAAAACTTCTATTCTATTTACAAACACGTTTCCATTGACTAATAATGTTTTCCCTTCTTGAATTTGTATTCTTCACAAATTTCAGTAGGTACAAAAGCTTATTTAATCTACGCTGGCTTAGAACCACCGGAATTTTTAGTTTTATTCCCTCCTTATGTTAGATCGACAGATGCAATAGCTTATCATCAATTTGAAGTAAGTAATATGAACATAAAAATGGCATTATTTTGTACTTTCATTTATGTTTACATATTTATTTGAATTACATAAAATTTCTCATCTTTGTATCCTTTTATAATTAGTGATTGCTTAATCTTATCTTACGGTTATTTTACCTGACGAATTGGACCCTATCTGTAAATGATGGATTGAAAGTTTTTGTTCTATAACAAAATGTAGGGTAGTTCCAGACACTTTAAACATCATTGTTCATCAATAATCTAGTCTATTTTAATACATTGACTCATGTGTGCAAAAATGTACTACTTTAATATTAAGTTTCTAGTAAGATAGTTCTTCTATAAGTTTTAATACGATATCAGTCCCTAGAACTATATACTCAAAGATATTTTAATTACTCTTAACAAACTATCAGTCGACTGAATGTCAAACATCGTTTCTAAGTGGAATGATGTGGTTTCACGTTTAGTTTCTTACATTCATAATGAAACTATTGTTATTAATACCAATAAATAATCAGGTAAACTAGTTTCGATCGAATACCATTCTCTTCTGAACGTTAACTGCTAATCATTTTACTTTAAGAGAAATTCAATCGAAGCATTTATAACACCTAGGGATATTTAACCTAAATTTATAATTTAATCAAATGTTATTTTTATTATTTTAATTATTATGCATATACCAGCTGTTTGGTTGCACACACTAAAGAAACTGAAAACCACTTAAATGGATTATCAAGTCAGTCATTTATTCAAATGACCTCAAGCTTTTATTTAATCGGATGTATACCCTCTTTATCTTCCCTTAAATTGTGAGATTAAAATCACTTCGTATCTTTCTTTCTACGAACTAATTCTTTCTTTCTGTACTATATCTTTACATAAAATCTTTCCTTTATATATTATACCACTGAGTTAACTGCTTCTATGAATTCAGTGTTTTCACCTTGCTGTGCTAATAAGGTGTGGCAACTTGGACCGATGCATGTATTTGCCTGGTCCTACGTTGTAATTGACTGACTGTTTGAATTTGTAGTCAAATGGTGTTATCGAACTTCTGGTGTGTATTCAGAATGTTATTTTACTTTGAAAGTTCAAGATACATTATTGTTTGTACTGAGCATATTATTGTTATCATTATGTTAAACAACATTTTTAGAGCTTTATTTAACTATATTTCTGAAAGTTTCCCAATGAAATCATTTAAACAGAAGAAAGCACGATTAAACGTCAAAGGTAAAGTGTAACCTTTTTTAAAAAGAAAGTCTAGTTAGAAAAAATAATCAGATAAAAATGACCAGCTGATGCCACATTGTCAGAATACATAGATGAAAATAGGCAAGCTTAATTTTGGGCTTTCAACTTTCATACAACTTTAATATAGTTTATGGTTAAAGTTATTAAATTTAGATCTATTGAAATGAAGGTTGATATTTAGCTAGTACTATGGAACCTAGTGGTCGAGATTTCTATTTGATATGTAACACAATGTGAAGATTTATAATTTATGTCAGCCCAGTGTATTTAATATTTTTACATTTTTAACTCACAAAATGTGAATACTTTAATAAATAGGTTTGTCAGAAATACATTCTTTGAACTAAAAACTTTGGCATTTGTTTAGAAAAGGTGTCTTCAGTTAAATGACATCTCGCTGGTTATCATCCTTTGGGTTTGCTTTGTAAAGTATTCCTAGAGAAATTAACCCATATTAACATATCTAGACTTGTTCGACTGAAAAACTACAGATACTGTAGTTAAAAACGGAGATAATTTTCTGAAACTGCTTTTTTGTTAAGCAAAAGTTTCATTCCAAACGAAACAGCTGTCTAATGCTGCCCTTTCATTTTCACTGATTATCCAGTCACGTCGTGATGCGAATTACTCTTAGATTGATTGATTTCCACAAGCATTATTAAATTTAAGTTTATTATTAGGGTGAGAGATATTGTCCAGGAATATTGATAATGCATAGTAAGGAAACGAGTTAATAAAACATTTATCCAAAGTATTAGTTAATTTCTTGATTAAAAAACACATTTATTCACAATATCACTAAAATAATATCCCACGGAACATGTGCAGACACCTTTATAGACAACTTCATTTTCTACGCTGTTAAATCGCTTGCTACTATAATATGATTAATATTTAATTCGCTAGCTGAACCGTTGCATTTGAATCTCAACTAAAACATCAGCTCCCTAATAACTACAAATTTCAATTAGTTCTAAGTCTAAGACTCCTGTCAGTTCTCCTCCAACCACCTAACGTTTGACATAGTACACCTCTAGACGTTGAGCCATGGTATAAGTGGTCACACTGCTACTGGATTAATAGAAGACAGTCAGCACTAAAAGTTAGACAATATGACATTAATCCACACTCTGTAACGATTAATGTTGAAAATTCATCCGCATTCTTCGATACCTGTTTATCCCTTAATCTGTCTGTTAAATTGGAAAGAGCTAATGGATTCTAAAACATCTAACCAAGCCATATTAATCACTTTTTTTCATTGATTTAAGTCAAGGAAAAGACTTTTGGGGTTTAATGTTAAAATTTTTCTCATTCATTTAAATACCATTTCAATGAAGTTAAAACTTCAAGCATCAAATTTCACCAGTATGAAAAGCAAAATCTACTTATTAAACAAATGATCTTATAAATTTCATATCATATTTCTTGAATATTAAATCCCAATATCTGCGTTTTACATTAATAGAAATAGTCTTCATAACAACAAGATAAATGTTGAAACTTTGATATACAAATGTTCATTTGTATACAAAAGTCAATACAAAAAAATTACATAAACTTAAATCATTTTGAGCAAGGTTTGTAATTTATGCAACTAACATTAACAACAAAGTCATTACTTACTTTTTGCTTAGTTTCATCAAAGTAGTATTGTTTTATTATGCCCATTTTGTGATTGTCTTCATTTTCATTGTGTTTCATTTTATTGGTTCGGGTATCTTTCATTCACCCTAGTTAACGGATATCAGAGTATTTTAGTGAAAAAAAATTCAATACATGTGTGGAATTGTGTTAATTCTTCCTACTTATGCTTGTTACTCCTCGTGGAGGAGCATAGGCCACCCATGGTACATTGTTTTAATATAAACAATGGTTATCCGATGAGAATATTAAATATTACCTTACAAAAAAACAAAAAAGAGGAAAGTGCTTTGTATGTTGCAGCTTATGTATATTTGGTTAAGCTAATTATTGCTAATAACAAAAAGTAGCATCTCATTTTGAAACTGATAGTCTAAATGTTTTAACTGTGATACTATAGGGTATAGTTTAACCGATCTTTAGAGACGCTTGTACTTATATATCTGTAAAATCTAGTTACATGGAAGTTAATAATTAACTGCTGTTGTGGTGTGTGCTATTGATATCGAGGAATAAAGGTAGTATGTATCATCAGTCGAAAGTGAAATGTCTAGCGACAGAAGGTTAAGAATATCAGAGAAAAGAGAACGAGAACAAAGAATGATTCGTGTGGAAACGAAAGAACAATGAAGTCTTAGATGACTGACTGATATTTGCAAAGGACCAGTCAAGTTTGAAACAATTGGTTGACATTGCAAATGAAGTATTTTCTGTATGGTTCTCAGATTTTACTAAGATGTTCTGTAATTTTGTATTCAAATATATTCGATAATTACATGATCCTAAAAACCTCGAAGAACAGAGTTGAACTGAAGTCTATTAATTGTTCTTCGTTTTTCATATTTTTCAATGAAACCTCAGTGGATGGTGGTTACCAATAAAAATTTCTTGAAAAACAAAATTGTTTTTTTATAACGCACAGCCCTTACCCATAGAGACTAAGCGGACTTTAAAAAGAATACATCTTATATTTACCGAAATTATTATCACATTGATTTCCCGTTCACTAAGTAAAAGGACTAAGTATGTTTAATTTCAAATAGAATGTTCTTTCAATCTAATTAATAGATTAGAAGTAGTAGAAAACTTGCAGTTTATACAGCTGAAGCATCTGTATGTTTTTCCACTACTTTCTAAGCAATCAGTAGAAATGTATGGATTAGGTGAAATATCGTAGAAATTATATGTAGATGTTAAAATAAAGGTTTATGAACAATATGTTCACTTCTTCTTCTTCTTCTTTATGGATCTTCTGATAAATGATAACAGCAATAAAGTTCAAAACTAAGATTTTCTACCACCAGTAAAAGATGTTCTAAGATCTAAAGCTATAAATCAGTGTATTGTGTCACTTAAATTAGAAGATTTTATCTTATTAGATATTCTTTATTATTTCACGATAAAACGTTTTTATATTCGTATACCTGAGCTATTCACTGATTTATCATTATATTTAAATGGTATTTGACTCGATTTAAAATTTAAGTATCAGCCAATTTATTTCCTGGGTAATTTTTTTGAAATATCATTGATACAAATAATTGATTAACATCAGAAGGATTTTTGTGGATATTAATGTAATTTCAATGGTTGAGATCATAAGTTCAATGAAGCTAGACCACTATGGAAAACCTGAACTGATAGGTCCTGGGTTCGAATCTCGCGAGGAGGGATCATGGATGCGTACTGCTGAGGAGTCCCACAATAGGACGAAACAACCGTCCAGTGCTTCCAGGTTTTCCATGGTGGTCTAGCTTCAATTGACTCATGATTTCAACCGTTGAAATTACAAATAATTGAATTTAACTTTCGGAATGTGTTTCTATTTAACAAAATTCGGCGAAACTATAATTTATGGAAGAACCAATCAGGTATAATTAAATAGGTCTCGTATTTTTGCGCGAAATTCATCCAGCCCTCCTATCGCATACACACAAACAAATGCAGATGAAGACAACTAGCGTGGCACCTGTCTCTGCATCAGTAGGCCTCAACATACACAAGGGGAAAACCAAGGTCTTCAAATACAACATGGAGAACAGCAATCCAACCACACTTGATTGAGAAACTCGTGGTGTAGAATCCTTCACGTGTTTGGGAAGCGTCATCGATGAACAAGGAGGATCAGGTGCAAACGTGAAGGCAAGGATTGACAGAGCAAGGGTCGTACTCCCACAATTGAAGAACATGTGGAAGTCAAAACAACTTTCAACCAATATCAAAGTGAGAATCTTCAATACGAATGTCAACACAGTTCTACTGTATGGAGCTGAAACGTGAACAACTATCATAATCATCATCAATAAAGTGCAACTATTTATAAACAGTTGTCTACGTAAGATACTCAACATCCGGATACTATCGGCAAGAGCCTTCTGTGGGAGAGAACAAACCAGCTTCCAGCTGAAAAGGAAATTATGAACAGACGATGGAGATGGATAGGACACACATTACGCAAATCATCGAACTGTATCACGAGACAAGCGCTAACATGGTATCCAGAAGGGAAGCAGAAATGAGAGAGGCCAAAGAACACATTACGTCAGGAAATAGAATCAGATATGAAAGGGGTGAATAACAACTGGAAAGAGCTAGAAAGAATTGCCCAGGAAAGGGTTGGATTGAGAGTGCTGGTGAGCGGCCTATGCTCCTCCGTGAGGAGTAACAAGAGTAAGTAAATATAAGATATTTCATATTATCCATAAGTAACCAAAAGGCAATTTATAAAATACACAGTTCCACATTCACAAATGGGTTGAATTGATGAGTTTATTAAAATCTTTACCTTAGTATTATAACTGATAGGTTAAGTTGTTTGAATATGAAACGAGTTTTTTAAAAAAAAGTAATTCATTGCATATTATCATTTCTGTTATCACCAAGATTCTGTCAACAGATAAGTATACTAACTATTTAATTAGTTTATTTTCTATTTTCTTCATATATTTCAATCTATTTTTCACATATTATTCAGGATGGTAAGACTGATGGTCAAAAAGATTTAATTGACAGTTTACTATCATCATATACCTTGGCTTCATATACATTGAGTGATCTTCAACAACGTCCTCTCCCGCCTGAATTGGATGCAACCTGTTTAGAAACGTATTTAGATGATAAGACCTTCGAAGTAAGCTATACAAATACTCATTTATAGTTTTTTTCCTTCTTGATTGATTCAACAAATTATTTTTTTAAGTGTTGTAAAAGAGTTTAACGAACGCAGAATTTTTACTAATCGTTCTGATCCATTCTATGAGTTATCCCTCCGTATAAAACTCAAGTATATTAATAAATGAAAGTAATACATTTGTAATCAAAAACTTCGGACAAAGACTACTCGGTGAGTTGATAATTACAAGAAAAACTGAATGAAAGATCTTTTCAAAACACTTCTTACTGTTTATATGTGTAGAATTGTATGTAATAGACACTGAAATGTCTCTTCGAGAATTTAAATAATAAGGTATAGTAATGGCTTGAATGTGAAGAACAATATTTATCTAGTGTATTCTTGTAGGTGTGTTTTGTAACTTTATTCAGTGCAGTCCATCATGGTGAAGTACTGTGTAAGTATAATACTTCATAATCATATATATAAGTATATATTGTTTCAATTAAGTAGACAATTGTGTGAACGTTTTTCCCTTTGCCTACTTCTGTTCATCCCTTCGGTGGAAAAAAGAAATGACAAGTAAACTGAGCTTTTACCAGAATAATTCCTCATATGACAATGACTTACTGAATATTTCACTTAGATGGTTAGATGTAATCTATTAAATTCAAATTCTATTTCATTATACATAAATATCAAATGAATAAACTGAGCGGCATAAAACCGCCTTCATCGAAAAACAAACATTTATCATTATGAAATACAATTGAATACTGACAATGATTGGGCTATATTTTAACCCTTGAATTTCAATTCAATATTCTATTTATTTATACTTATAATAATCTCAGTAATCGAAATTGAAAATAACTCCAACATAACTTTTAACAGTCTGCTTTGTGCTTCTCGAAGCTAATGGTTTTGAATTTCATTTACGTAGATGTTTACAAATATCATTTCCTATAAAATGAATTCGAATTCATTGCAACTCTATATATCATCATAGTCGATGGCTAGGTTCTCATCAATGAAGAATAATATCATAATAAATTGTTAGTTTGATTTTATTTAGTCTAATACCAGGCTAAAACTTTATACCGAATTTTATTACTAGTTTATTTGTCAAAAACTGTGATAATCCAACAATTTGATAACAAAAATAGATTCCCATATAACAATGTACTAATTAATTTTACATTGAGATTATTAGCCGATCAATTTTAGACCACCAGTGATCACCTGGAAGAAGCTGGCGGCTGTTTCGTCCCAAGATAGGACTCCCCAGCAGTGTACATACACAGTCCTGCACACGAATGCTTAAGCTCTAGACTACTAAGCCGATGTTCAATGATGTGAACGTCTAACTTTAACCAATCCACGACATTTAGCGACTACCTTTCATTGCCTTCGGTGGGTAACTGTCTCTCACTCGACATGGTTGACGTCCACTAGTTACGACGGGTTTGTGTACCAGACCGAAGGTCCCGGGTTCGAGTCCTGCGTATGGGATCGTGGATATGCACTGCTGTGGAGTACTAAACTAGGACGAGTCGTCCTCCTGGTTCTTCCGGTTTTTCACTGGTGTTCTAACGTTGATCAATTTATGACCTTAATTAAAACTCAATCGTCTCCACAACCCTGTACTGTTGATAAACATAGTTTTACAAAACAAAGTAAACAATATGAATAATTATCAATAAACTGACATTATTTAAATAATCGATATAATGTTACATAACGATCAAGGGATAACTATGAAATACTGATCTAACTAACACATCCAGGAGTTTTATGATTTAATTTTTTCGTTAAACTTTTGATTTTCAATTACAGGAAATATTTTCAATGTCTAGAGAAGATTTCAATAAATTACCAATATGGAAACAGGCAGAAATGAAAAAGTATTCAGGTTTATTCTAACTGAATTCTCGACTTGTTTAAATTATTCAAATATATGTGTATGCATATATATGTATAAGCCCATGCACAATCTCACATAAAGATATACACATATCATTACAACATTCACAGTATTATACTGAATTGCATCATATACACATAAAGACGAAGAGATTCTTTGAGTTACATATTATTATTTCACATTTTTGTGAATACATATACCAGATTATACATATAATTGTATAAATACAATACCATCAAACAATCCCGGAAGTGATGACCTTGAATTTATCGAATATTATCATACCCTCTGGAATGTAAACCAACTTTAGTTTGAAAAAACAAGATTCATATACATATACATAGATACATATATATAGACATTTTTATCTCATTGACTGACTTAATTTTGCTACTATTTGAAAGGTATAAACTTATTTTATGCAACTATTTTTTATATACTATGGCTACTTGTGAAATAAAAAGAGTTATAGGCTGATTCATGTTACTACTATCATTATTATTACCACTGTTATTATTAACTATGTAACTGCATAAAACATAATTTTCATCATACAGTTTGTTTATTTTTCTCACACTTATCCATTGTCCATATTTATGAATGCCTTATTCTCAACTTCAATATACTATGCATGTATTAAACACTTTATATGATCTATCATCCATTCTGTGTTAGGGTTAAAAACAGAATACTCGAATAAGTAAATTCGTTATTGGCTTTCAACAGTGATATTCCATCTTCTTTCTTTTTTTTCTTTAATTCAAACAAACAAAAACCTATTACTCATACATAGAGATAGATCTAAAACATAATATAAATAAAATCAATGGCACAATCATAAGAATTCATTTGCATAACTTTCATATTCATTGTCTTTCATAGTTTATGTACAACATATATATAGATAGATAGGTAAACACATTCAGTTTTGGTTTGTTTGTATTGTTTATATCATTCTATGTCTTTCTATCAATCAAGAGATATTGACATTTCAGCTACTTTTGTTCTGTATTCTTCTTCTTCTTCTTCTTCTTCTTCTTCTTCTTCTACTACTACTACTACTACTACTACTCCTTCAATGAATATCAATTACAAGAAAAGTATATTGAAGTTTATAAAAAAAGATTTAAAAAATATCATTATAACTAATCATAATTGTGCCTTTGTCACTATACTTACCATTATATCGATTACTATTATTATTAATGTTGTTTTCATTGTCAATGTTTATCTGCCACTAATTTGTTTCAGATCACTTAATAAACTGAATTATTTTCATCATAATTAATAAACATTTACTTCTGTTACAAAATAGATTTTCATAGTTCTTTTCATTTGTGTAAGATAATCGAATTTTAAAAAGCTTGATTCATACTTTAGTTGAATTCATGAGTCAACTAAAGCAAGACCACCAAGGAACACCTGGAAGCACTAGGCGGCCGTTTCTCACCAGCATGCACCCACGATACCTCCCCGCGAGGTTCGAACCCAGGACCTATCAGTTTTAAGCGAACGCTTAAACTCTAGACCACTGAGCCGGCATACAACGGTGATAATGTCTTCATTAAGTTAATGCTTCACAACAGACCCGGTTGAACTTCAGTGGTCACTGCTTCCCACTAGAACTCCAGGAAATACCTCTTGAAGCCAGTCACTAGTGAGCGTACGATGATTATTATCAAAAGGAGTTTTGTGGAGATTTTAGCAATTTTATAGTTGAATTCATGAGTCGATTTTTTGTCAGGTCAAAATAATCAGTCTGCAGTCTGGAATGCAAGATTTTATAAGGCTTTCATTAATCTAACAGGAAAGTATAAATGGTTTTTGATCACCAGTATTTTAGTCAGATCATATCATTTCAATGGTTAAAAAATTAAGTGCTGGGCCCCTAGCAAGATAGAAACAATCCACCTTCTTACTACTAGTCTTGCACTATCGGCTAAGCGATTATACAACGATTCTCTTCAATCCTGAGTTTCTACTTGTAACTTCAAACTTTATGGTTGTGAAACGAGAAAATCTTTGAGGTTTTCATTGATAACATTACTTGATCCAATGAAATGATTGTATTTCATATACTTGAGCTAAACAGCTAATTAGCAATATTATTGTTCACATTGTGAAATACATTGATAATATATCAGTATTCAAGTTGAAGTTGATGAGTATAAAAGAGAAAATAATCATCGGATGTTTTATTTGAATATATACACCAACTAATTCAGGTATTTTGATTTCTTCTCTTATAAAAGTTACTGATTACCTGAAATATAAGATCATTTGTTTCAACAACAACAAAAAAAGATGAAAGAATTAGAAATATTTCCATTCTAATAAAATAATGGCATACCAAGTAAAGGTGTTTTTAAGTTTAGTTTAGTTTTCGTTAGCTGATATGTATAGAATCACATTGAATACAACTGTTTTCCGTATACTGAACGCTAGTTAAACATAAGATAGTCAAGTATCTCTGAAGATAATTAGTTTCACTAACTTGTGTACGTTTTACTTATTTTGAATAAATTAAAAACAGAAATATTCTTCATAATAAATAATGTATATGAATAGCTTCGTGCTTCTTGTTTTTGGTTTGGCACATAGTTTTGAGGGTATAATCCAAGAAAACACAACTGAGGTTAGTCTCATAGTTTTGTATACTAGTTATCACATGTACTTATTAATTCTTAAACTCATTCAATGGCCAAAACTTATGCTGTGCTTTAATAGTCTATTTGACATCCGACTATGAAAAATTTCTGGCTAGTAATACTTCGTTGTGGCATCAACTAAGTCAATTTTGCTCTGTATCAGACGTTCAACATCTTGCTACACTTATTTTCTATAAAGGCTATCGTTATAATAAGTTTACCTCAGTTAATCTACTTAGAATAAGTTTATTACTCTACTAAGAAGCATCTTGACTAAATCATGTATTTGAAGCAACGTTCAATTGACGAATCTTTCGTATTTCGCTGACTACAATCATGATTTATTTTTATAACGAAATCAGGAACGTATAATTGAATATTATGGATATGGAGCAATTTAAGTTTGATGATGGAATATTCATAGTCAAAATTAATAAATAGTTTTGCCATCAACGTATCTCAATTAATACCATATTCCTATGGTTACTGAAAACTACTGTGTATGTTGACTATAGTCTGAAAATGCTAAGTAAAGCATACTCCAAGTGACAGACTTATGATCGCTTCATATCTTCTGTCTGTTAAGATGTGTGCGGAGCTGATGCTAAACATTTCTTCAAAGTAGCGGTACATATCATTTGTTAAATGACTGAAATAGTTTAAAGACCAACTCTTTAACAATGTTGTTCCATTCACTTGTATATATATAATAAGAGGAAGAGTTCCTGAAATTTCAACTTTATTAAAGGTCATTCATAAGGAGTTTCAGCGAAAATTGAAAGCAATATTTTTAGTGTAAATTCACGCGAACAGACGTTTTGGTAGGTAATAATCTACATTTTATATATAAAGCAAAATGGGTGGTAATAACTATTTTTATTCATATCTGTAAACTATCTCTTCTCATTCAGAATTAAACCTCTTATGAACAATTTATTTCAAAATTTAAACTCTTTCGAAACAAATTTGCTGGGTGATATTTTTGTAACCTAGATGTGTTAGTAACTTGTACTATCACGTAATGCTACTTCAGAAATAGATCAGTAAACAAGTGCGATTTTCTATATGAATGTTAGCAAAAGTAGCTGAATTGAATATTTAAGCTAAGCTCAGTTAAAGTTAAGTGAACGATTTGATTGTTGCTCGATTTCGAAAATATCCACAAATATTTCGACTTAGAGCAATCAAAGCAATTTATTATTACTGTGTAATAATGCAAATACTGTAGAAACATTATCATCTTAGTTGTTGATCAGGGTGCTACTTATCATCAAAGTGTACAGTGCTTTTAAAAAGTTATGAGAAATTTATGTCGATTCCGATCGTCAGAACCACATAGATATAAGAGGATACATATTGCTAGTAAATATATTTTTAACATTGTCAGCATATGAATGAACCAGAACCAATAAATAAAAGACAACAGCAGTATAATGTGTCTAGCTCTCAATCTACGAGTGTGCAACTCTTCTGCAATCTGGAGTACGTAATCTCCAAGATGTTGATTTTAAAGATTCTTAATGTTCTGGTTTAGTTACGTTCGTAGAGTTTGCCAGATCGATTTGCTGTTTAGTGCTCCTAGAGATAAAGAATAGTAGTCTTGTATGATATCGGATATACTGTAAGATTTGAAAAGATGAAAAATGTTTTGTCGTTTGCCTAAATATTGGTGTACATAAAATAAGTACTGGAGCTTTTAGACGGTAACTTTTGTGACTTCATGCTTTCTCGTAACTGAAGACTGCAATTTTTTTCTTCATCTCTCACATTTCCCTATTCTAATTATTAATAACACATAATACTTATGATCGGGTTTAAAAATGAGCTTTAAAATGAAAATATCACATATAATTGATCACTGACACTTTGTGGTGTACTTATCCATATGATTATATAAGATATTCGCGTATTCACCATGTACTTCTCAAATATGTTGCTTTTCAAACAATAATATCCTTACTTATGATGGCAACAGTATTTCTCACCTATAGATATTTTGTGCTTTTGTCTAAACTACTTATGAGTAGTTAAACTTTACTTTTTTAATAGTGTTATGAAATATGCCAAAGATAAATTCATACTAGGATAACACAGCTTAAGTTATTTAGAGAATTTTCAGCCTTTTGAGATTTTCAAGAAAGTTTTGATGGCTGTTTCTATTCATTGTACATCAAATACTGTAATTTGCGATTTCTATTCACTTGGGATAACTGGACTTACAGGTAACTTTCCTGATTGAACTTCATTTTCATTTAGACCAAAAGGAAATATTATTGGTTGATACAAGGGCCTCGTTCATATACGACCAGTTATTCAATAGCATAAGGTAACCAAAAAGGTTGAAGTGTTAT